CTGCACTGGGATCTGGAACACCCAGTGTAGTCACCGTCCGGTTAATAGACTTTCTGTTGCCTTAAACCCACATCCTAACAGTCATCTCTGGTAAATACCCCACAAGAGCTCAAGGGCAACTTGAGCTATATAACAAAACCCTATTTCAAAGCAACCACAATAACAAAGCAATCTTTGATTGGAGGAAGGAAGAAAAAAAGCCACTGACAAAATTGTAAGATTTGAGAGTGTTACTGTTTATCTGTTTCTTGTTTACCAGAGCCTGTGGTAAAGGCTTTGCCAAGTTTTTAAAACTTACTTTTGCTTTTGTTTGGGGGGGGAGTTGTTATTTTGTTTTTGTTTGGTTTGGTTTTTGAGATAGGGTGTCATGTAGCCCAGTCTGGCCTGGAACTTGTTATGTATGTAGCTGAAGATTATGGAGAACTCCTGCTCCTCCTGCCTGCCCCCCCACACGCCCAACCCCAGTGTTGGGATTACAGGTACACATCATGGCTTTCAGATTTTAGGATTTGTTCATGGTGTTTTGAGACAAGTCCTTGTATCCGAGGCTGGCCTTGAACTCACTTTGTAGCCAAGAATGACCTTTAACTGCCTGACTGTCTTATCCTATCCCTTCTTCCTTCCAGGTGCTGGAATTTCAGGCCTACACCAGTAGATCATCCAGGGGTCAAATTCAGCTCACTGGTTCTGTTCTCTTACCTGCTGAGGCATCTCACGGGTCCCATCATTTGTCTCTTTGAGGCAGGGTTTCATTCAGTAGCCCAAGCTGCCCTCATGAGACATGGTCTCACTCAGTAGCCTAAGCTAGCCTCACTCAGTAGCCTAAGCTAGCCTCACTCAGTAGCCTAAGCTAGCCTCAAAGTCCATGTAATCTTCCTGCTTCCTCCTCCAGAACACTGGGGTTACAAACACGTGCCACCATTTCCAGGGGTCACTTTGCTGATTGACATAATGGTTGAAATAATCCATCTTACAGGTGAAGAAACTGAGGCACACTGAGGCAAGTGAATTGGAAACCCTGAGTGATGATGGCAGAACTTGGAACAGCCTGGATTTCTAACACGTCTCTTGCTGTGGCTACTTCTCCGCTGGGCACAGGAACGAAAGAGCTAAAGAAGTGGGTGGCTCTTAGAACTGTTACGCTCACGTTGTTTACCCACTTGTCCTTTACTCCTCAGTAGCCCAGGCTGGCCTGGGCATCACTGACCACACTTGTCACTTGCAGGAGCCATCTGCTGGTGAGGTCAGGGGGGAGGAGATCCAGGCCTACCCCCTTTACCCCTTGGCAAGCTCATGGTGCCCCCAACAAAGTGTTCCCAGATAAGCCGGGTCAGCCCCTCTCAGAGAAGGGCAGGACTCCCCTCCCCTCTCGCTACCCCCTCCCCCATGTCTGTCAAACCCAGAAGTAGTTGGCTCTCTCCAGGGCCTGAGTGGGAGGAAGACAGCCGATAAGGGGCAGAACTGATGTCATCAGCTCACAAAGCTGCCCTTGTCTCTTCGGGCTTCAACAGATCTGCTCCTCCCTGAAGCTTCCTGTGCTCTGGTGGGGAAACCCCTTGAAAAACACTGACATGAAAAGGGAAATGCAGAACACCCCAAACTAGAACCTAAAATGGTTGAGCAACAAAAACCAGCTTGTGAGGGAAAACAATAAGTTCAGAAGACTCCTAGGAAGGGGCCATCTCAAGTCTTTGCAGCTGGGGAATCCAAGCCCGTCCTACAGAAGAGGATGCTTTCAGGAGCTGGACTGCATGCAGGTGCGGGAGGCAGGAAGTGTAACTCTTGTCCTGGGGCTGGTTTTTCCCGTATCACACAAGCATATATAAACTTGCCCTTTAAGGGAAATCGTTTATTTTGTTTTAATTTTGTGTGTGAGTGTGGGTGCCTGTGTGGTGATTAGACGATAACTTTTGGGAGTCAATTCTCTTACCATGCAGGCTCTTGGGACGAAACTCAGGAATCAGAGTGAGGTTACAAGCACTTTTACCTGCTGAGCCATGTCAATACCCCCACAACACACTTTGTTTGTTAGGGTGGGTCTCATGTAGCCCATGATGGTCTCAGCCTTGCTATTTAGCCAAGGGAAGCCTTGAACCCCTGATCCTCCTGCCTCCCTCTTAAAACTTCTTGGATTAGAGGTGTGTGCCATCGTGTTGTGGACTGCCACTAGTGGACTGTCAGGTTGGCAGATTCTGTGCTGTGGTGGCTCAAACCTTCCTGATGCAGTCGGGAGGACAGCTAACATTTTCCTGCTAGGAGGGAACAACTCAGACCATGGTATGTTAGGGATGGTCTACAGTATGTACCTCTAAGTTAGGCGGCTGGTCATCTTGAGTACTTAAGTCACGTTTAAAATCATAGTCAGGCTTGGTGGTTCACAGCACTTGGGAGGCAGAGGCCGGAGGATTGTCCCAGATTTGAGACCAGCTGGGCTACAGGAGACTGACCCTTTCTCAAAAACAAAACTGGGGGGTCTCATGCCTTTAATCCTAGTGCTAGAGAGGTAGGTGCAGGCAGAGCTCTGTGAGTTTGAAGCCAGCCTAATCTACATAGTGAATTCCAAGACAGCCAAGGCTACACAGAGAATCTCTGTCTCAAAAAATGTAGGGTCGGTAAGGTACAGTGAAAACCTAATCACCTGAGTTTAATTCCCAGGACTCACATGGTGGGAGGATAAGAGAACTGACTCCTAAAAACTGCCCTCTGACCTTTACACACACACACACACACACACACACACACACACACGTTGTTTAAAAAAAGATTGAAAACGATAAGTATATTATATACACGTATGAAATGTCATATGAAACTCATTTTTTACACAATTAATAAAAGCTAGTCATTTTGTTGATTATTATTATTGTTTTTTTTGGAGACAAGGTTTGTCTGTGTAACTCTGGCTATCCTGGAACTCACTCTGTAGCCAGGCTGGCCTGGGATTCACAGAGATCTGCCAGTCTGTGCCTCCTGAGTGCTGGTATTAAAAGGTAGCTAATCAACTCTTATTTTAAAAATTAGCTCATTGAAAACCAGTTCAGAATGTGAGACACACAACTCTAGCTGGTGCAGCTTCTTGAGAAGCCAAACACAGCCTCTTTCAAGCTTCAAGGTGGAGTCAGTGGTCAGGAGCATGCCCTGGGGAAGTGCGAGTCAATTCACCTCAGGCCATGTTGGGACATGACTAAGATCACTTAGTTGAGTTGAAAGAGAGGCAGAGTGGGGCAAAGGTGTCAGGTCAAACCTAGACAGGGAGTCTGGGGACAGTGTCCCCCAGTCTGCAGCAGGGGAAGCTGTGATTCCAGGCAGAAGAGCTGTGGGGAGGGCAAGAGCCTGGTCTACACAGAGCCACGGGGGATGAAGGCTGAAGCCCCAGTCCTGATGTGCAGTGGGGAGGGGTGGGCAGTGGAGTGTGTGGAAATGGCTCCTGAGTGGCTTAGAGGTGTTGGAAGTAACATGGGACACCTCCCTTTCTACTCCTGTGAAAGTATAGCCCTGCACCTAAGCGAGCTATGTGAGCTTTTGCTGGGTTCTGCTGGCTTTTCCAGAATACCTCTGAGCAGTTCAACCCAACCACAGGGTTTTAGTCAAACCCCTGTTCCCAGGTCTTAAAGACTCAAAAATGCAAAATTATTTTACTGTCAAGCAAAAGAGAAGGAGAACTGGCTTTCCACTTTTTCTTTGTTTTCATTTCTTGTGGCAGAGTATGGCTTTTCAGCCCAAGCTGACTTGACCGTGCTACTTCCAATGCCAGATCCTCCTGCATTAGCTTCCCCAGTGCTGGGAACACAAGCGCCAGTGTTTACCAGGAAAGAGCGTCTGAGTTGATTATGGTGGCACACTTCTGTAGTCTCAGAACTTACGAGGTAGAGGCTAAGGATCAGGAGTCCAAGGTCATCCTCAACTATATAGGGAGTTCAAGGCTAGCTTAGTCTACTTGAGACTGTCTCAAAACAAAACACACACACACACACACACACACACACAAGGTCTGGAGAGATGCCTCAGCAGTGACAAACACTTGCACAACTCAATAATGAGAACCGGGGTTCAAATCCCAGCACCCCTATAAACAAGCCAGACAACCTATTCTACTTTACAAGGCACATATACACATAAAATGACCGAGGCAGTTAGATGGGAAGTGTCCCAGGGTTTTTCCAAATCATGGCACACACAGACTTCTTATAAGTCTTAAATGCTCAGCCTAGCTTAGACACATTTCTGGCCAGCTCTTTTAACTTAAATTAACCAGTTTCTCTTTATCTATTTTGCCTTGGGGCTTATATTTCTTACTTTTGTATATCCTACTTTCATTGGTTTTCTGTCTGCCTGGCTTCTTGCTCTGGGTGTGTCCCTTATTCTTTCCTTCCTTTCCTTTTTGAGCCTAGATTTCCCCTACTATTTACTCTCTCTACCTGCCAGCTTGGCCTATCCTTTCTCTGCCAAGTTATTGACGGGTCAGCCGTCTATCACACCAATCAGGTGCCTTAGGCAATCAAGGTGAAACAGATCTTTTCATAATTAAACAAATGCAGCATAAACTACAGCAACACACATTTACACAGTTAATGTAATTCTGCAGTATAAACAAATATAATACATCATTACCTAGTTAAATAAATATTCTACTACAGGAAGGGGAATTTATATGTCCACAAGTTATTTGTCTCCGACACCTGGACTAGCCTCTGGGCTCACACACACACACACACACACACACACACACACACACACACACCCGCCTAGCACGCCCGGCTGCTAGCCTCGGGCTCTGGACACAGCAGCCACCATGGCTCCTAGGAGGCACGCCGTGGCTCGCTGCCCTCGCCGCCCGGGGCATGCGGTGCCGGTGGCCTGGGATGGCCGTGGACTCCGCACCAGGTGGGCCAGGGTCCGGAGAGAGCAGCCGAGCTTCCTGGGTTGGCAGCAGAGTCGCTGCACCTGCCCGAGCGGGGCGGGGCGCCACCCACGACAAGACCCGCCCCGCCCCGCCCCGCCCTCTCGGCCGCCCCGTCGGGAAACTGGCGAGCGGCTCGGCGGCGGCGGCTTGGCCTCGGCAGGATAGGTAAGCAGCAGCGGGGCGCGCGACCCCGCGGTGTTCTAGGACCTCGCATCCCTGAGCTCCTCGGGGACTCCCTCCACTCGCGCTCTCCCTGAGTCCCGCCTCTCCGTACCCCGCCCCACTCCTCTCCGACACTCAGTAAAATGAAGGGGCCGAGCCAGACAGCTCCTCCGGACTTCGCTCTGTGCCCTGAGCTTGGTGGCAACTCGCGCCTCCCTGGGGGGACCCCCTCCACCTTTGCGGTCCAAAAACGTGGGGCAGCGGACGAGCGGGGAGTCCAGACTCTTCCCCTCATGCACTTCCGCGCCTACCGTGCGCCTCCCCAGATTGGGACCACCTCATGTGTTCAAGCGCGGGAAGTCCTTTGGAGAGGGTCCTTCTGCCATGTCACCCCTGCGCAGAAGGGACAATGCAGGAGTAGCCTCGTTGGTGGGGGCCCCTCAGAGCCCTTGCCTGATTGACACCCCCCCCATGCGTGACGATTTTGAGAGGCAAAGGACAGAGTTCTGTGGTATGGGGTAGGGAGTGTATGACTGTGACTGTCACCAACTTCCTGATTCTCTCACTTGTTCCATGCCTCTTGGTGACTACCAGGAGAACCCTCCTGTTACCCAACGGCCAGTCGTCCCAGACTGCAGACCACTGCGTGTGTGGGCACTGCTGATGATAGCTTGCCCAGAAAGCTCAAAAGGGAACCCCTGCCTTGGGCAGTAATTCACCACAGTGGTCCCAGGGAGAGCGTTCAAGGGTTGCACTCTGAGCTCATCCCGAGACCCACAAAGGCAGGAACTGGCTGAGGTTAATGACTCTAGACACACCAAAGAGCCTGCAGGGTTATGTTCATTTAACCGCAGATGTGCTGTGCATTACATAGGCGCGCCTCCCCTCCCGACGGGAGAGCTGTTCCCCTGTCATCAGAGAGAAGCTAAGAAGGATGAGATAGGCAAATTCATGTGATGACTGGATCGAGGTTTTGAAATCTACTTCATTCAAATTATCCAAGAGTAGCCTGCGTCATCGCAGGCATTACCCAGCTCCATTTCCTCAGCGATGCCACGTGCTTCAGGAACCCAGAGAGAGCTACTATCCGGGAAACCAGGACCCAAGAGCAAGACAGGGCTGTCACAAGGAATTGTAGAGCAAGTGAAACCGAAGGAAATTGGCTGCTGAGTAATCGCTGCCCACAGCTGGCACTGCCTCCCGCACTCAGCAGAGTCCAGGAAAGGGGAGGCCCCGTGGGCGTCAGGTGCCCTCTGAGTTCAGAACTGTCATGGTTCAAGTTCAGCTGGGAGAACTCTGACACAAGCGCCCACCACAGGCCGAGTTCTTGTAGTCATTGCCTGGAACAGAAGTCAGGCTGCGAGAGGCAGGCACATCCTCACCTGAGAGCTCTTCCTGAGGGAGGCAGTGCTGTATAATGAAGGCTGCAGATGGCTGACTCAGCAGTCCCACTAATGTACCTATATAACCGTGGCCACATCACATAAACGCTTCCGGGGCAGGGAGCAGATGAGGAGGTGTCGTGGAAGTGATTTGCTGGAGCGCTAGGGACCAACCAGATGTGAGATGTGTCATGGCCCTGGACACAAGCCTGGGTGCGAGTATTACCTCTGCTTTTTCCTAGCTGTGTGCCTGTAGTCAGGCTAGTCTCCCCAAGCTTAAGTTTCCTTCTGGGTAAACAGAAGGTAGGAGTTGGCCGTGCAGCTCAGTTGGCATTGCACAGACTGGGCATGATGGTATAAGCCGGTAACCCTTGGGAGGTAGAAGCATGAGAATTCAAAATTCAAGGTCATCCTTGGCCACATAATGCGTTTGAGGCTAGCCTGGACTACACAAGATTCTGTCTCAGAGCAAAAGCAAAAACCCAAACCAAACATAATTGTGTGAGGTTTTGTTTCTTATTTTATTTTTCAGACCTGGTCTCTATATAACCCTGGCTGTGCTGGAATTCACTATGTAGACTAGGTTGGCCTCAGACTCATGGAGATCCACCTGCTTCTATCCCCACCCCTGCAAGTGCTGAGGTTAAAGGTGTGCACCACCACTATGATCCCAGCTATTCAGGAGGACCGGGCAGAAGGATTTCTTAGTCCAGGAGTCTAAGGCAAGCCTGGGAGCCATAGTGAAGGGATCATAGGCTGAGTCCTTGTAGCCAATATCCTTTTTCCTTGAAGAAGCAATTGAAAGATGATAGCATTGTCCTAAACATCCCTGGGTCTGATGAACTTATTCTGATGTCTCCAGCTCGGGAAGTTAAGCTGAGTATTTGGTGAAGCTGGGTGTTTGGCTGTATCAGAGCTCGGGTGAACTTGGCTCTTCATATACCCTGGACCTTCCTTCTGGAAAAGCCCAAAATGTCCATTCCTGGCTGATGGGAGACAGTGAGGTCAAGTACAGGGCAGTGCCTGTCTCTGTGCAGATCTCAATGCTGTAATTGTGCTGGGTGAAGGCCTGTGTAGTAAACAAGGATGGGTTCAGCCCAGGGAGAACAGGGCTTTCGAATGGTCCCACTGGCACCTCAGAGCCCTATGCTGCTCTCCAGCACCTGGCCCAGCCCTGCCTAGGGAGAGATGTGCAGCAAGAAACTCCATTCTTACCTGTAGCTCTGTATCTTACGGCAAACGAAAGACACATACGTGTGTGCATACACACACATGTACATTCATACACACTTGTGCACACACACATACACACACACTCAGTGCAGAAGGATGGACACCTTGAGGGTGGGAGGCTGACCAAACAGTCAGAATAAGCATTCTGGATACAGAAGCATGGGAAGCAGGACTTAAGAGTGGAGAAGGAAAGGGAGAGCAGGATGTAGGTGTCTGGGCTTGTAGCTTCACTCTCCTCCATGAATCTAGCGGGCAAGCCCCACCTGGAGAAAGCAAGGCAAGTGAGTGATACAAGGGGGAAAGATTCGAACCCAGCTCCCGGGGGCAGTGACGCATCTAGGAAAACTTGTTTTCTTTTGTTTTTTTTTTAGAGGCAGGGTTCCATGTAGCCTAGGGTTGCCTCAAACGCTCCATATAAATGAAAGTGACCCTGAATTTTTTAAATTTTATCTTACGTGTGTGAATGTCTTTCTTGCCTGCATTCATGTGTGTATTCCACGTGCATGTCCGGTGTCCATGGAGGTCAGAAGATGACATTGGGACTGGAGTCACGGGTGGTTGTGAATTGCTATGTCCTCTGCAAGAGCGGCAAATGCTCTTCACCACTGAGCCATCTCTCCATCCCCTGGCTTTGAACTCTCAGCCTCCTTCTATGCTATCCAAGGGTGAAAACACAGGTTGGGTCCCATGTCTACTAGGAAGACTTCTTTTTATCTGTTTTTAATTTAACTTTAATTATGTGTGTATGTATGTGCCAGAAAGGAGTTGGATCCCCTTGGAGCTGGAGTTACAGGTCGTTGTGAAGCATCACATGTGGATGCTGGGAACTGAACTCAGGTCCTCTGGGGAAGCCATAAGCACTCTTAGTTGTGAGTCATCTTTCCAGCCTCAGAAGACTTCTGGGGGTGGGGGAGAGTTACGAGTGAGCGTTTAGACTGTCTACTTTGTTTTGCTTTGTTAAGACCTTAGGAAGAGAAAGACCACCAAGTCAAGTATCTGGTTAGGCTGGAAGGTAAATGCAGACAGCAAGCTGAGTATTGGACAATTCTACCATAGCTGAATAGCCTTAGTCTAAAGAAACATGACCAGGGCTTTGCTCATCATGAACCAGAGAAGCGCAAAGCAAAGGAATCTGGTGGGCACTACATCTGGCCCTCCAGGGTCAAGGGGAGGGGCCCAGGAGGCAGGGCATAATCAGCAAGGGCTTGGTAACCTTGGTACTGTGAAATGACCGGACATAGCAGAGCTTGGAGTGGACCGGGAATTAGGGGTGGTTGGATTCCAGTGCTGTAAGCAGTGGGGAACTGCTCAAGTCAAGGCTTAGCTGACTGCTTGCAGACCTGAGTGCCGTGGCGGAAGTGTCCAGCCATCCTGGGTAGGACTCCTGCAACCAAGAGCAGACTGCTGTCCAGGAGCAGACCATCTGTCCCATGACCCCCAGCTTGCCTCTTCCTTACCCACCACCAGCCACCAGATGGCAAAACTCAATTCAAGCCCTGGGAGGTTAGAGAGGCCCAGCTCCTCCCTGTGGAGTTCCTCCATCCCCAGTGTCCTGGGACAAAGCCTGTGTGCTGCTGAACTTCCTGTTTAGCTGCCTGTTGTTCTGATTTTCAGTGAGTTTTGTTTGGGGTAAGACAGCAAAGGTGTAACAAGCACCTTTTTATGCCAGAAACTGATCCTATTACACAGTGGTGAGAGTAAGTGGTTGTTGTTGCTTTTTTTTTCCAGTAGGAAATCTGTTTGGATAACTTCAGTTCAACATTTTGTGTAAACCTAAATGGACCTAGATGTGCTGGGGGGAGGCCTTTTGATGGACTGGCTACAGCAATAACTTATCACAACATTCTGGGAGGATGAGTCACATTGCTGTAGTGTCAGTCTTCAGGAAGAGCCAACGTGTCCATATGAAGGTGTGACTCAGGGTGAGGGAGTGGAGACCTCCCACCATCCTGGGACCAGATGGTGAAGAACGCTCTGGAGCTCACGCAGTCATGGTCTCATAGTATGACTGCAGGGGAGGTGAGGCTATGGGGGCTTGAGGAAGAGGACATGTCATTGAGGATGAAGAGAAAGGGACCAAGGTCCAGCCAGACAGCCTTGTAGCACCCTTCCCCCTCCAGGATCTTGAAAACAGCCTGTTCCTTCTCCACCATGATGTCCACCAGCACACGCCTATGTACTTGGTCAGAGTGGCTCCACCCAACACTTTCGAAGAGATTTGTAATTGAGCCAATTAACTTAAGCAAATATCCTGTGGTGATGGCTTGACAGCTCTGTTCCTGAAGGCCACGTCTCTCTACTCTCCCTTCCCTAGCTGTGTTGTTCATTTGAGTACACAGGAAGAAACTTCTTTACAAAGAGGCCACCTGGCCAGATTCTGGGTGGCTGATCTTTCACAGGAGCCAGAGCTCACTTGGTACTTCCTAGTTTGGCATCTTTAAGCATATGATCCCTGAATGGGGGCTGGAGAGAAGGGAATGGCAGTAAAGGGGTTTAGGAGTGAAAGGGATGCCCAGAAGAACCCAGTCCCTGTAGAACCTCCATGGGAGGGGGTAAGAGATGGTCCAAGAACTGAAAACCTTGGAAGCTACTAACTGTGTGTCTGAAGTCATCCAACCCAGCTAGGTTCACTTATAAACCAAGGCTACTGGATACCCAGATAGGCATTCAGGCAGCAAGCTAAGTGTGGCAGCAGAATGCCACCTAACTCAAACGCTTGCAGTGCCGGCATCCTTAGAAAACCACTGTCCGATGTTGAGCCCCTCTAGCTCCGTGTATAAGAGGCTATGTCACCTACCACATACATTTGGTACTTTAGACATTGCAAGTGACAGAATGGTAGAGATGGCGTGGCCCTTGAAGTTCAGGAGTCCAGGTCCCTGGCAGGGTTGACATGTTGACACAAGGCAGACTTGTGTCGTGATGAGATGAAGAACAAGAAAAGGCAGGAGACCAGAGTTGGAGGTAAGGCTCAGTGGTTAGAGTCCCGGGTTAGATGCGGGTGTGTGGTAAGAGTCCCGGGTTAGATGCGGGTGTGTGTGTGTGTATGTGAAGGAATGAAGGAAGAGAGACAGGTAAATAAGGGGAATGGTTAGTTCTGTTTTGGTTTATGAATTTTGTATGACTGATTTTTCATGTTACTTTACTGAAGATGACACAAGATCAGAGAAGACTTCCCAGGAGAGGCCAGCAGTAGGATCAGGTTGTGTCACTGAGTTTTAAATGTGTGACTACATTTTCCTAGACCTGAAACTCATGTAAGTGTGGCAGGATGGCTCAAAAGTCTCCTGGCAGATTTACGCTTGTGATAACATTACAAGTATAAAGTGTGTGAAGTAACAAAAATTACCTGAAAATGACCTGATCATCTAAATGTGTTTACCTTCAATTTAGAAGTAGAAAAAAAAATTTTGTTGTTTTTTTGAGACAGGGTTTCTCTGTGGCTTTGGAGGCTGTCTTGAAAGTAGCTCTTGTAGACCAGGCTGGTCTCAAACTCACAGGGATTCGCCTGCCTCTGCCTTCTGAGTGCTGGGATGAAAGGCGTGCACCACCAACACCCAGTTAAAAGTAGAATTTTTGAAGAACACATTTTTTAGTTTTTATTTTATCCCATTGCATTTCATTTTTGAGACAGATCCTCACATAGCCCAGGCTGGCTACAAACTCTATATAGTCGTATGACCTTGAACTTCTGAGTCTCCTGTTGCTACTTCCTGAGTGCTGAGATTACAGGTGTCACCATACCCAATTTATACAGTGCTGGGGTTGGAACTGAGGGTCTCATGTGTCCTAGGCAGGCACTTGACCCACTGAGCTACATTCTCCAGCCCAAGTCCTATTTTTTATCAAGTAGGATGAAATAATATTAAATTTCGATTATTCAAAATTCACAAACTAAAAGCAAAAACAAAGTTTCCAAAGATCCTTGTTAAATATGTAGCATTTATAAATTCTGAAGCTAAGAGCTGTTCTGAGACTTTGGTATATGCTGTAGCTGTAAGTAATAACTGAGAGGAAACTACGATAAAGTAATGCGATGCAGTTTTGGAGAGGTTGTCTTTGTTTCTGTAGTGATAGAGATGGCATACGCTGGGCTGCTGAGCTATGTCCCCAGTCCAACGTGTGGTTCACTTTGTTTCTCCTCTTCTCTTTTCGGCAATTCCTCACTGTGTATCTCTGGCCTAGAACTCACTCTGTAGACCAGGCTGGCCTCAAACTCACAGAGATCCGCCTGCCTCTGCCTTCTGAGTGCTGGGATTAAAGGCGTGCACCACCACCACCCAGCTATTCTGCCCTTTTTTGAAATTAATTTTTATTTTTATGTATATGTAAATGTATGTGTACTGCATGCATGTCTGGTGTCCTTGAAGACAAGAAGAGGGTGTTGGATCCCCTGTTACTGGAGTTCTGAGAAGCTGTGAGCCCTAATGTGGGTGCTGGGGCAGAGCCAGATTCCTCTAGAAAAGCAGCCAGTGCTCTTAACTGCTGAGCCATCTCTCCAGCTCCTCTTAATGCCTGCCTCCCCCATGTGCTGGCCTTAAAGACTTTTTCATGCAGTGACAGGTTGGAATCAGTACTGGGTAGACCCTGGGCTCTGCTCTCTAGAGCAGTGAGAGTTGAGTCTGTGCTGTATCTAGTGGAGTCCATTCTATTTCTTCAGTCTGGGAATGCTTCCCCTGCTACGACTTGGGGCATCTTGGCTCTGACAGTCTGATGACCATAGGTTCCAGGGAGGGAACGGACTTGGGAATGGATGCTGACTGGCAGCAGGGAGGGCTGTCAGCACACCTGCTGGTGGCCTGAGGGCCAGGCTGCTATGCAGGCCTGGACAGCAGGATGTGGGTACTGCAGGACCCTGAACTTAACCAACTACTACTTCCAGGGCTACTCCTTCCCCCAGGCTTGTGGGGTGTAACCTCCTGGCCCTTGGTAACTGTGATTCTAGGCATTGCATCCACGTAGAACAGCAACCCTCAACCCAGAGACCTGTGGCATCCGTGAAATTGGTGTTTCCCGAGGGCTGTCTTCCTGTTGCCAGCATGCTGAGCCAACACTGCAGAGAACAAGTCCCTTCCTGCCAAGTCTAATCACAGGTGTCTCATTTCGTTTCAGGATGTGGTTAGAACCTTGAGAACCGTGGGTTCCAGAGAGGGAGAGAGAACACTTTAGACAGCCAGACTGGATCCAGAGAGCAGATGTTCCAGAAAGCTTCAGTTTAACCCAAGGTCTCTTTCTCCAGAGAAAATAAAAGGAACAAAGGTGTCTGCTTCTTCAAGGAACCACAGGCCGCGGCGCCTGGATGAGGGTGCTGGAGTGACGGGTGAGTCCAGGAGGCCTTCCTGGAGGAGGTGAGTCCTGGCCTGGCTCTGGCTAGTCACCAAAGTGTGCCTCCAGCTGTGCTCACTTCTCATGTGGGAGTGGGAAGTAAACGGAAATGTGCCAAAGAGGGCAGGCCTCAGGGTGGCTCAGCAGACCTGCCCCAGACTCAGAGTTCAGTCTGCTTTTGACAGTACCCAGCCTGAGGACTGTGGCTCAAGCAGAGCTCCTGGAGCCTGGCCCTCAGCATAGCTCAGTCCCCGGGAAAGAACCTCCACACACAATCCCGCTCCTCTACTTGAAGCCTTTGGGTGAGCTAGAGGGAACTCCGCATTTCTCAGCTGTCTGTGCTGATTGCTACCTTCTGCTTTCAGCAACGTGAATAGGCCGTGTGGTGTAGACTCACAGCCCCAGATGACGTCCAGTGCTCACTCCTCCCCGGCCTCCCCTGTGGAGCCACCTCTTCCACTTAATTTTCTTTCCTTTCTTTTTTCTTTTGGTTTTTTGAGACAGGGTTTCTCTGTGGCTTTGGAGGCTGTCCTGGAACTCATGCTGCAGATCAGACTGGTCTCGAACTTACAGAGATCCGCCTGCCTCTGCACCCCGAGTGCTGGGATTAAAGGCGGGAGCCACCAACGCCCGGTTTTACTTTCTTTTTTAAATTTTGTTTTTGTTTTATGCGTATGAGTGTTTTGCCTGCATGGATGCCTGTGCACCACTTGGGTCTCTGGTGCTGCCTGTGAGGCCAGAAGGGAGTATCGGATCTCCTGGGACTGTAGTTACAGCAGTTGTGAGGTGTCATGCGGGTGCTGGAATTGAACCCGGGTCCTCAGAGGACTCTTAACTGCTGAGTTGTGTCCCCAGGACTCTCCTGTAGGAAGACCTTCACATCCCTTAGGGAAGGAGTTGAGTCTCACACCCCATTGTATACCTTTGCAACCCACCCTAAGACCCAAAAAGGTTTTGCTGGTGCCACCTCGGCAATCAGCATGGCTGCTTCCTGGGTCGGATATCCAGGTCCCTCCCACCTGATCATCCAGCTACTGAATGGTTCCCTGCTCACCTCACTGCCCCCTAGCGGCCATATTCCTCTCCTTCCTGGAAAATCGCTCCCCATTTCTCAAGGGCAAACAGCATAAGGACTGCTGTTAAGCTTCAGTCCCTCCTCCAGCCACATTCTGCTACTCCTCTCTCATCTCCTGTTCCCACCATCCTGGATGGCTGTTTTCTGATTAGTCATTCGAGCATTGCTGTTCTCTGATTGGTCATTCGAGCATTGCTGTTCTCTGATTGGTCTTCACTTAAAGTATGCTCAGTTCGCTCCAATAACTGAGGAGAACTCGGGTGCCCAGCCCAAGCTTGTCCCCCTAAGTGACGTTTTGGCCTTCTTCTATTTGCCATTTCTGATACACTCACTCCTCTTTCTATCCAAGGATACCGCTCTTATGCTCCCGTTTTACTATGTAATCTCTGGAACCTGATTAACTGCGTGTGCCCTCCTTGAGGGGAGGCCTTACCCATCCCAGCTCTTCTCGAGTCCCTGGCACAGAGTAAGTCTCCCACTCATCAACAGAATCAATATCAGAATCAGGCCTCTCATATCCTACATAATCCCTAATGCAAAGTAGGAATTTAAAAAGATTTATCTGTTTTTATCTTTTGGGTATGGGTGTTTTGGTTGCATGTATGGATGTATGCCATATGCATGCAATGCCCTTAGAGGCCAGAAGAGGGTGCTGGATCCCCTGGAACGAGTTGCAGATGGCTGTCAGCTATCATGTTTGTGTTGGGAACTGAACTCAGGTCCTATGCAAGAGCAGCTGAGCCAGCTCGCCAGTCTCAGAATAAAGACTTTTTTTATTTGATTTTTGATAACGCTGTGGAAGAAACCACCTGTGTCCCCAGCACAGCCTGAGTTTGCTGGCCATTGAGTCCACACTGTCCATGTACTTACTCTCCACATACCAGGGACTCCCAACACCAGGCTTCACACGGACAGGACACGCTGTGGGGTTAGCTAACAGCACTAAACATCCCAAGCCGAGCCATTGTTAGTTTCTTCAGAGTAGACTAAGCAGGTTTACTGTGTGCGCTGTGAGGAGGGGCGGGGGCCGGGGGAGTGTAGGGTGCCTGCAGCCCAGAGTCACTTTTAGGCAAAGCATGCAAGGTGTGATGGCTTTGGGCAGGGAAAGATGCCGGGAGTGGTCGCTGGGACACTGTACGGGCCTTATTCATTACAACAATAGAAGTCCTCGAGGGCTTAGGAAACGGCGTGAACTCTGCCGTACATTTTCATACACCACCTAACTGAATCCTCCACACAGCCTCAGCTGGGTGTTAGTGACGCATGGTTCATAGATGAGGAAATCAAGGCTGAGCAGGATAAAGTAAATCTCCCAAGGGTCACACGTGGCCAATGGTGGAGACTAAATAGTTTTTGAAAGCTGACCAGGCACACTGATTAGACTGCCAAACTTCTGAGAAATGTTTCCTTTTCTCCCTTAACCCTGTACCCACTACAGAGGCAGGAGCTCTCTAGAGGACGGATTGAGCCTGAGGCCTTGTCTCTTGCCACCAGGGTCCATCAGCTTTGCTCCCATAGGGAGCTCTTCATACTCATCCTCTGACTGGAGTGCTGCCTGGCATACTCCCCCCTCCCCTCCCTCACCCTCATGCCTGGTCCCTGGAAGATGTTGTCACAGAATAGAGTCTTGGAGTGAAGACAACAACAAAAATTTCCTCTGGAATTAGCTTGTGAGAGCTGAGGCAAGAGAACATGGGTCTGAGGCCAAAGAGCTACATAGTGAGAACCTGTCAAAAATAAAATAATTGCCAGACAGTAGTGGCACATGCCTTTAATCCCAGCACTCAGGAGGCAGAGGCAGGCAGATCTCTGTGAGTTCGAGACCAGCCTGGTCTACAGAGTGAGTTCCAGAACTACACAAAGAAACCCTGTTTCAAAAACACAAAATACATACATGCATACATACATACACACATATTCTAAGTGAGTAAATACAGAAGAATTCTCTTGGCCTGTAGATAACATGAGTTTGAACTCCTCCATGGTCTCACACATATGTGTATTTTGAGGATCAGGGATTTTTTATTAATCTGAAAAATTATTAGCAGATGAACCTAGCAGATGAACCTAGAAATGTATCTTAACTAGATATATCATGAATACATAGAATATATGTAGATAATAATATACCTGACACAAAAGATACACAAACCTGTTGTGTGTGTATGTTTTATAGTCTCACATGGTCCAACTTGACCTTGAACTTATTAGGTAGCTGAAGATAACCCTGAACTTTGGATCCTCCTGCCTCTGCCCTCTGAGTGTTAAGTGTGTCCACCATACTCTGCCAACTAAGCTACACCCGAGCCACACAAATCTATTGTGAACAGTTCAGTTTATCAGAACTTAGGCACACAAGCATGGGTGTGCATGGTACTGTATGAAGCTGAGGCCAATGCAACCGATCTAAAGATGTATGGTCAGTTCCAGCTGAAGGGAGCTAGCTCTGTGAAGAGTGTTTAGACACATGAGGCCTCAAAACTGAAGCAAGTCATAATTGCACACAATGAGCGGTAATATTACAGTACTGAAATCTGTATAACCATGCTACGGTGATCATCTCAGAGCTTCCCCTCCTGTGCTCCTGTGGTAACCTCAAACATTGGGAGCAGCTGCTTAAAACGTCACTTGACACTAGTTGTCCGCATCTGACCTGGTCATTCTTCCAGAAAATCTAACATCGTGTTGCACAGTAATCTCTCATAGTTGGTGTGTGTTGCCACCATACAGAGTATGCATATGTATTAATTGATTGCTTTTGTTGTCAGAGAGGCTCCCGGCCAATAGCCACTGACTGCAGTTTTAGGGGAACCAAAAGTTCCATTTCCAAGTGAATAGGAAGTTGGCACCTATAACCTCTGCATTGTTTCAGGATCAACTGTGTCAGACATAAAGTCTAAGAGTAGATGAGATGTGGTATCACATACCTTTAATCCCAGCACTAGGGAGGCAGATCTCTGTGCATTTGAGGCTAGCCTGGTGGAGATAGTGAGTTCCAGGCCAGCCTTGTCTACATTGAGAGACCCTGTCTCTAAAGAAAAAGGGTAAGATACCGCCGGTGTCATCGTCCACCTCTAGAAAGAAGACTGTGTTTCTAACTTTCTAGTCCTCTTTTGCTTATCTCTAATCTGTGCCTCTTTGTCCCTCTTTTTTGTTTCTGTTTTTTTTTCCTCCCTAATAGCCCTGGCTGTCCCAAAACTCACTCTATAGCCTAGACTGGCCTCAAATTCACAGAGATCTGCCTGCCTCTGCCTCCCGAGGGATAATGCATGTATTTTTGTCTTTCTTCAGAAATGATGGCTTTCTTGTTCTCGGCCTCTTTGTAGCTTTACTACATATTTAGATGCACAGCATCGTCTCTAACATGGACATGTTTCATAGCTTTTGATAAACAGCAGCCCTGTGTCTCTCATGTTCCATAGCTGTTGATAAACAGCAGCCCTGTGTCTCTCATGTTCCATAGCTTTTGATAAACAGCAGCCCTGTGTCTCTCATGTTCCATAGCTGTTGATAAACAGCAGCCCTGTGTCTCTCATGTTCCATAGCTTTTGATAAACAGCAGCCCTGTGTCTCTCATGTTTTATAGCCTTTGATAAACAGCAGCTCTGTGTGTCTGCAGCTTACCTTTTCACCCACTGCCCTGGCAGCGTTTCACAGAGAGAGAGGTGGTTGGTTCCCTTTGCAGCTACAGAGAGTTTCCCAGTGTGGCCCTCTCCCACTTGACTGTTCTACAACGGATTGTACATTGCTGCAATTTTAATCAAAGCTGCTACAGACATCCTTGTCCAGGCCTCCGGGGTCACACAAACCAGTTTATCTAACACACAAAGTGAGCCTGGCATGGTGAACCATGCCCATAATCCCAGTACACAGGAGGCTGTGGATCAGGAGTTGAAGGCCAATTAGCAAACCCTGTCTCAAAAACCAAATTAAGTTAGGAATGAAACTGCAGGTGGTTCATGTAGTTGCTATCCTATCCAGTCCTATCTTCTAAGTCATGGCACTGACAGCTGAATTCCAACTATACTTTAACGGCAAGATATTTCCCAGTGTGGTTTCCTCCTGTCCGGAGAGACCCAGACCCAATGTTCTCGTTTACAGCTAAAGGAAATTTAGGTACCAGGATGCTGTGATACCCCGCTTCTCCGATGAGTCACACTCAGGCCCGAAGCCCCTAGCTCCCTCCTCATCTCTGCAGTGGTTCATTCCTCTCATATCCCCTCTTTTCTCAGGCTGAGGCCCCAGGCGTGGCCACTGTGGCATATCAAACTATTCCCAAAGTGAGGTCCAAGGCTTGGTGCTGACCCTACTGGGTCCCGTTTAGGAAGATGAGGCTCCTTCGAAGACGCCACATGTCCCTGCGTCTAGCCATGCTCGGCAGTGCCTTCATGCTCTTCCTCTTCATCCGGCAAAAGGACCAAAAGGACGTAAGCAAAAGGGAGCCGGCCATGGAGAAACCGTGGCTAAAGTCCCTGGTGGGCCAGAAGGATCACGTCCTGGACCTCATGCTAGGTGCCGTAAACAACATTAGAGATGTCATGCCCAAGCTGCAGATCAGGGCTCCGGAACCCCAGCAGACTCTGCTCTCCACAAACCGCTCCTGCCTTCCGGGGTTCTATACCCCTGCTGAGTTGAAGCCCTTCTGGGAGCGGCCACCTCAGGACCCCAGCAGCCCCGGGGCAGATGGAAAAGCATTTCAGAAGAAAGAATGGACCCCTCTAGAGACCCAGGAAAAGGATGAGGGCTATAAGAAACACTGCTTCAACGCCTTTGCCAGTGACCGCATCTCCTTGCAGAGGTCCCTGGGGCCAGACACCCGACCCCCAGAGTAAGTAGCACCCAGAACTCTCAGAGGGGACCAGAGCTTTCCCAGAAGTGTGGCTGGCAGGGCTGTGGTCACCAGCCAGTTGTCAGGAAGCAAGCTGAAGGGGATTTGAGACTAGGCAGGGATTTCTTCTCTTTTGCTGGTCAATTGCCCTTATCCCAGGGGCTAGAGTTCAGGAGTACTATGGTCTGGCAGAGGCCCATAGGGACATGTGAGGCTAAAACAGAGTTGTGGAGGGAACAGGATATAGAAGAAGGAACCCAGGGCTATAGACCAGGATCTGGCACAGGGAACCGGGAGGGGCTGGAACAAAACTGTGGCTTCTGCAGCCCTCGGGAAGCTGGACCTGCGCCTGCCAGCTGGGCCTCTGATGCTAAACCGAGAGAGGAGATAGTTCCTGACTGCTGCTCTGGTGGTCCAGAAGGTTCCCCCACACCACGGGTTCCCTCTAGTGAAGGCCACAGGCCCAAAAAGTTCAACTTTGAGAGAAAGTGTGTATTGGAACTCTTAGGGGAGGACCTTTTCCTCACATTGAATAGCAATAGTCCTCAACTGAGCATTTGCCTTTAATGACTCAGCCCTCTGGGCCCTTTGGACAGTCAGATCTCATGCAGCATCCAAGGTGCAGAGTGAGTCAGCTGTGGGAGCATCTGGCCTTTGAGCAGGGAGGGGTGGGGTACCCGAGCATCACCTTAGGGCACTGAGCCAGCTCAGGAATGGCTTTGGAGGAGGCTGGCTAGTAGTACATCCAGGGTAGAAGGAAGGAGCCACAGAGTTAGAGCAGCTATTCCCAAGTACAACAGGGAAGGGAGATTGGTGTTGTGTGTGGGGGGGGGTGCTGGAGTGGGTTAGGGAGCTCTACACAGATTTCTTTCCCCTCCTGGAGCTCCTCCCCTCCCCCCAGGACTTAGAGAGCTGTGTCCATCCTTCCATTGTTGCAGGTGTGTTGACCAGAGGTTCCGGCGTTGTCCCCCACTGCCCACCACCAGTGTGATTATTGTGTTCCACAATGAAGCCTGGTCCACTCTGCTGCGCACAGTATACAGCGTCCTGCACACCAGCCCTGCCATCTTACTGAAGGAGATCATTCTGGTGGATGACGCCAGTACAGAGGGTGAGGCTGGCCGGCCTGGGGAGGGGTGGGGCCCAGGGTGGCCCAGAGGAGGGCAGGCCCTCTCTAAGGGTCAGGCCTGCTGCTTCACTCCTGTCACAAAGGCGGGAGCAGGAAGAAGGCAGGTGGAGACCCTCTGTCCTTTCCAAAGTCCTTCCACAATCATCCCATAAAAGCATGGTCAGGTCTGTCACAGCAACACTCTACTCCTCACTCCAGTTTCTGTCTTAGCTAGGTTTTCTGTTGCTGTGATAAAAGCTCATGACCAAAAGCATCTTGGAAAGGAAAGGGTTTATTTCAGATTATAGTTGCATCCAGCATGAAGGGAAGTCAGGACGAGAACTCAAGGCAGGAACCTAAAGGAAGGAATGCCACATACTGGTTTGCTTTGCATAGCTTGCTCAGCCTGCTTTTACAACCCAGGACCCCCTGACCAGGGGTGGCACTGCCGCAGTGACATGGGCCCTCCCAGAAAACCAAGAAAGTCTCCCATCAGCACTAGACTTACAGGCCAATCCAATGGAGGTCTTTTCTCAATTGTCAATCCCTCTAGTTTATGTCAAGTTGACAGAAAAGAAAAGGAGAGGTGGGGAGAGAGAGAGAGAGAGAGAGAGAGAGAGAGGGAGGGAGGGAGGGAGGGAGGGAGGGAGGGAGGGAGGGAGGGAGGAAGGAAGGAAGGAAGGAAGGAAGGAAGGAAGGAAGGAAGGAAGAAGAAAGAAAAAGACCAACCAGGGCAGTACCTTTTCATAGCAGCCAGCAGGCCTGTGTTCCTAAATAAGTTTATATTCAAACTATATGTATTATATGTGTCTGTGTGTAGGTGTATGCATGTGTATGCAGGTGCCCTAGGAAGCCAGGGATCCCCTGGGGATGGAGTTTCAGGTGGTTCTGAGCAACCTGATGTGGATGCTGGGATCAGGACTGAGGTCCTCTAAAAGAGCAGCATGTGCCATCCCCCCAGACCCAATTCCTCTGTTCTCTCCAGTCACCTCCTGTTTCCCTGGGTTCATCCTTTTGTTTTGTTTTGTTCTGTTCTGTTCTTCTTTCTGTGTGTAAGTGTCTTGCCTGCATGTATGTCTGTGTACCATGTGTGCACCTGATGCCCTTGGAGGCCAGAGGGTCCCCTGGAACTAGAATTACAGAGGATTGTGAGACTCCATGTGGATGCGGGGAATTGGGCCCGGGTCCTCTGTAAGGGCATCCAGAAGTCTTTGCCACTGGGCCATCTCCCCAGTCCCCCCCCCTCAATCTTAAGGCCACATCTGTCATCTCTAAGTTCTCACCTGAGGACTCGGGCTGGTCCCCTTCATTTTCTGGGTCCAGCTTTGAGGATGTGTGCTGTCCTCCCTGACTGGGGAGATGCCATTACCCACAATGCTATTCACTGCCACATCTCTACACGTACTCCTAGGGGATGTGCATGCTCTGACACCCCTCCCCAAGGCTCTCAGACTCTGGGAGGACTGCGGGTGCAGTTCAGTGGGGAACAGCAGAACCATGGGGTCAGCAATCTCTGCACGTCTGTCCACACAGGATGAAATTTCCCACATTTGACTGTTTGATCAGATTAACTGGCTCTTGTTACACACACAAAAGGGCTGTGTCTCTAAAGGACAGTGTACTTGCTCTCCGTCCTCCTACCCAGGTGCCCCATAGCAGTGCTGTGACCATGATTAATGGGCATTTGATACTTGGGAGAGGAGAATCTGTGCTAGACTAGGGGACTTTTAATTCCTTGCCATGAATCAGAACCAGGGCCCATACTTCATACCTTATTGCTCTCTCTTCTTGGAACTTAATTTATTATTTTGTTTGTTTTGTTTTTTGTTTTTGTTTGTTTGTTTTGTTTTGTTTTTTGGAGACAGGTTTTCTCTGTGTAGCTCTGCCTGTCCTGGAACTCTGTAGACCAGGCTGACCTCGAACTCAGAGTTCCCCCTTCCTCTGCCTCCCAGGCGCTGGGATTATAGGCGTGTGCCACCACTGCCTGGCTGCTCAATTTATTTAGTTGAAAAGAAAAACTTTATTTTAGATTTATAGATTTTTTATGTATATGATTGCTTTGCCTGCATATCTGTACGTATACCATGTGCATGCCTGGTGCCTGTGGAGGTCAGAAAAGGTTGCTGGGTCCCCTGAAACCGGAGTGAAGGATGGTTGTGAGTCACCACGTAGGGACTGGAAACCAAACCCAGCCAGTGCTCTTAACTGTTGAGCTATCTCTCCAATACCTTTGTGAGGCTTTATTTCTTATTTTTTAAATTATTCCTCATTTTTTACATGCATTGGTGCTCTGCCTGCATGTGTACCTGTGTGAGGGTGTTATATCCCCTGGAACTAGAGTTACGGACAGTTATAAGCTGCCATGTGGGTGCTGGGAACTGAACCTGGGTCCTCTGGAAGAGCAGCCAGTGCTCTTAACCTCTGAACCATCTTCCCAGCCCTTGTGTTTTTTCTTTAAAATAATATCTTATTTGTACGTATGTGTATGTGAACGTGTCTGTGTATGGATATGCGCACATGAGTGTAGTGCCCACAGAGGCATGAAGAGGTTGAGTTACAGGTGGTTGTGAGCCACCTGAAGTGGGTGCTGGGAACCAAACTCGGGTCCCCTGCAGTTCAGCAAGGGCTCTTAAGCACTGTGCCGTCTCTCCAACCCCCAGGAAATAATTGTAGATCATAGTGAGTTCTATGAAGCAGTTCCACTAAGAGGGGAAAGGAACAGTGCTAGATACTAAGTCAGGAACTCTGTCAGCAGAGATACTGGGGAAGGCTACTCAGGCTGTCCCGCACAAAAAGAGCAGCCCAGGGCCCTTGGGCATGGTGTGCTGCTGGGAAAGCAGGCTGGCATGGCTGGAAGGAAGTGATCAAGGCAGCCGCAAACCTACACAAAGAAGTGAATGTGTGAGTCACCAGGCCTGTGTAAGCAAGCGAGTGTGCTCTTGTGAGTCACCAGGCCTGTGTAAGCAAGTGAGTGTGAGTGTGCTCTTGTGAGTCACCAGGCCTGTGTAAGCAAGTGAGTGTGCCCTTGTGAGTCACCAGGCCTGTGTAAGCAAGTGCGTGTGCTCTTGTGAGTCACCAGGCCTGTGTAAGCAAGTGCGTGTGCTCTTGTGAGTCACCAGGCCTGTGTAAGCAAGTGAGTGTGAGTGTGCTCTTGTGAGTCACCAGGCCTGTGTAAGCAAGCGAGTGTGCTCTTGTGAGTCACCAGGCCTGTGTAAGCAAGTGAGTGTGAGTGTGCTCTTGTGAGTCACCAGGCCTGTGTAAGCAAGTGAGTGTGCCCTTGTGAGTCACCAGGCCTGTGTAAGCAAGTGAGTGTGAGTGTGCTCTTGTGAGTCACCAGGCCTGTGTAAGCAAGCGAGTGTGCTCTTGTGAGTCACCAGGCCTGTGTAAGCAAGTGAGTGTGAGTGTGCTCTTGTGAGTCACCAGGCCTGTGTAAGCAAGTGAGTGTGCCCTTGTGAGTCACCAGGCCTGTGTAAGCAAGTGCGTGTGCTCTTGTGAGTCACCAGGCCTGTGTAAGCAAGTGAGTGTGAGTGTGCTCTTGTGAGTCACCAGGCCTGTGTAAGCAAGTGCGTGTGCTCTTGTGAGTCACCAGGCCTGTGTAAGCAAGTGAGTGTGAGTGTGCTCTTGTGAGTCACCAGGCCTGTGTAAGCAAGTGAGTGTGAGTGTGCTCTTGTGAGTCACCGGGCCTGTGTAAGCAAATGCGTGTGCTCTTGTGAGTCACCAGGCCTGTGTAAGCAAGTGAGTGTGAGTGTGCTCTTGTGAGTCACCGGGCCTGTGTAAGCAAGTGAGTGTGAGTGTGCTCTTGTGAGTCACCAGGCCTGTGTAAGCAAGCGAGTGTGCTCTTGTGAGTCACCGGGCCTGTGTAAGCAAGTGAGTGTGAGTGTGCTCTTGTGAGTCACCAGGCCTGTGTAAGCAAGCGAGTGTGCTCTTGTGAGTTGTGCAGTGTAAAAGGTGCTGGCACCTGCGGTTTGCTTTACTCTTCATTTTAATCTATACATTTAATACTTCCTTTTAAATATATGAACTGTTCTCTTGTGTGTGTGTGTGTATGATGCTGAGACTCAAACCTAGGACCCTGTGTACAATAGGCAAGGTTCCTGCCTCTCCATCTTAACCATGTTTTTCTTTCTCTTTTAGCCAGGCATGATGGCATTTACCTTTAATCCAGCACTTGGGATTTAGTCTCTATGAATTTGAGGCCACCCTTGTCTGCATAACAAATTTCAGACAAGCCAAGTTTATTATTATTTGGGTGTGCATGTACGTGCATGTGTTTACGTACAGGCACACATGTCACGGTGTGGAGGTCAGAGGGCAGCTTTTGGGCACGTCTCTCCTCCTCTGGCTCTCCTGCCTCTGCCTTCCATCTCGCTTGTAGGAGGTCTGGGGTTACAGACCCGCGCTTCCACAGCTGACTGGTTTTTAACATGGGTTCTGGAGATGGAATTCATGTCATCAGCACCCTGCCTTTGCCCTCTGAGCCATCCCACCGGCTCCATTTTTAAGTGCACAGCCCTTTGGCACTAAGTCTACCCGAATTGTTGTGCAACTATCACCATTTCTGTGCGCAGGCCTGTTTCATCTTCTCATATTGCAACTGTGTGCCCGTTAAAACCGCAGTGCCTTCTGCCCCAGTGCCACCATCCTACCTTCTTCTGTCTGCCACGTTTGACCACTCTAGGTACCTCAAGTAGGTGGAACCATATAGCCTTTGTCTTTTGGGGACTGGCTTCTTTCACGTTCCATAGATCTGTCTGTGGAACACACATCAGCGTTCTCTCTCTTTTTTCAGGTTGGATTATATTCCCTGGTGTAGCTACACCCCATTTTGCATATGCATCACATGTTGGTGGGCATTTAGCTGGGTTTACCAGTGGCTTTATGACTAAACCTGCTATGAGCAGGTTTACAAATATCTGTTTCAGTCCCTGTTTTGAATTCTTTTTCATCTGTACCCAGAAGTGAAATTACTAAATTGTATTGTGGTAATTCTGGGGTGGATTATTTTTTATTTATTGTTGTTTGGTTGGATTTTTTTTTCTGAGTGTTGGGAACTGAACCCAGGGCTTTGCACTTGTGGGAGAGTTAGTTCTTTCCTTCCACTCTGTGTTCCAGTAATTCAACTCAGGTTGTCAGGCCTTCATAGCAAGCACCTTCATTCACTAAGTCATCTCACTGGTCCTAGATCTGTCTCTAATGCACCTTTGAAACTGTTAGTAAACATTATCTAGTTGTAGTGTGCTAAGACAGAAGAATTGTGAGCTTGAGTTCAGCCTGGACCACATAGTGACACCACATCCTAAAAAACAAATAAAGCAGCTGGGCATTGGTGGTGCACGCCTTTAATCCCAGCACTCCGGAGGCAGAGGCAGGCAGATCTCTGTGAGTTCGAGGCCAGCCTGGTCTACAAAGCTACACAGGGAAACCCTGTCTCAGGGGAAAAAAACACAAAAATTATCTGATTTATGGTTCTAAGAGATGAGGTGCTGGGAGAGGTCAAGAATATAATTCAATTAGTTGAGTGTTCGCTTAGCATGTACAGGGTCCTGGGTATAATCCACAGCTCGGCATTAACCAAGCATTATGGCACATGCCTGTTTTCCTAGAGTATGGAAGGCAGATACAGGAGGATCAGAAATTCAAGGTCATCCGTGGGTACACGAAGAGTGTGAGACCAGGGGCAGGAATGATGCCAAGGACTGGAAGGATGGCGCAACACTGAAGAGCACGGCTGCTCTTTCAGAGGGCCCTGGTTCCCAGCACCCACCTGAAGGGTCACAACTGTCACTCCAGTCCTAGGGATCCAACACCCCCTTCTGGTCTCCATGGGTACTACATCATACATGATATACAGTCACACCTGCAGGGGAAAACACCATACACATAGAATAATTTTTTAAATTAGAAACTCAAAAGATGAAAGAAAAAATAAGAGACCCTGGAGAGAAGGAGACAAAGAGATGGGGGCTAGCACATTGCTCAGTGGTAGAGCACTTGGCTAGCATGCTTGAGGCTCTGAACACTGTCTCCACCACCATCAAACAATAAGGAGAGAGAGATAGGAAACTGCAGGGGAGTTTTGTTGTTGTTTGTTTGAGACAGGGTTTCTCTGTGTAGTTCTGGCTGTCCTGAAACTCACTCTGTAGACCAGGCTGGCCTCAAGCTCAGAGATCTGCCTGCCTCTGTCTCCTGAATGCTGGGATTAATGGTGTATGCCACCACCACCTAGCAAGGAAACTGCTGTTCAAAGTGGCTTCCTTATCTAAAAATATTCTGGGAGAATATGGAGTGGTGACTGGGAGAGTGGCTGACTGTGACAGCTGAGGGGACAGTAGGGATGGAGTAAGAACTGATCAGCTTGCTGTTGGGTTGACAACAGAGCTTTAAGGAAAGGAAGGGGCAGGGAGAACCCAGCTTGGCTCCAGGGTGGAACAGCTAAAGGGATGCTGGTCACCAGAAGAGGCTGGGGAGGGGCAGAGTTCTACAGGGCTGGAGGAAAGCCTTGGAGCCGTCACTCACAGAAGCACTGTGGGCCGTGGGCTGCACTGGGTGGATAGGGGCTTACCTCAGTCTTGTGGACTCTTACCCTGGGAGTGGGTGGCAGACTATGGAACCTAAATCACAAACTGTCATGTGGGGGACATGAGCACACAGGCTGGCCCACCTGTCTCTAGGCTCAGCTGTGCTATACTCTGCCCTAGGTCCTATGTCCAATAATCCCAGAGACGAGACGGAGTTGTCTGACTCTCCTGCCAGGACCTGAGGCCCAGAACCAGGAGCTCCCAGCCTGACCCCCTGAGACAGGAAGGAAGGCGTGGGAGAGCTCTAGAGCGCAGGGCCCTGGAAGTCAGAGCTCTGCTTCGCACTGTCTTACCACACAACCCGCTTCCTGCGATGCTTGCCACTGCTATCTCCACCATAGGCTTCCGGTGAGCAGAGATGAGCGGGTAGACTTCAGCCAAGCTACTGAGAAGATGACTCCCCAGCTGGGCTCCTCCTTCCTGTCAGCAACACCTGGCAGGGGCCAGGCTGGGGCTCACCCATCCAGTGGTGGTGGCAGACCTCCCTGCACAGGCCAGTGTCCCCTCCTGGACCGTGCATTGCAGACACTAAGTCACTCCTGGGCCTAAGCCACCACATGAGGCTAAAAGGGAACAGCCAGGTCCTGGCACCAAACACAAGAGGCTCCATTTCTGGAGCAAGACAAGCCCCCTTCTCAGGTGACTTCCTGGAGGGTTTCATTCACAGGGCAGTGGGTCAGAAACACTGGCCTATCAGAAGAGCTGGAAAAGAAAAAACAAGAGTTCAAGTTGCAAAGTATAGTTACTTACCCTGAGACTCTGCTCTCTCTGGCAACTTGACAAGTCCCTTTATTCTCTCTCCTCCTTGGGGAAGCAGCAAGACCATAGGTAGCTAAGGGGACCAAGAAACACCCACACCCCCAAGAAACTCCTACCCATTAAGTCCTGGTAGGTGACCTCACAGCTCTTGGAGGAGACAAGTCCACACAGAAGCTGCTTTGGACCCTTTCACGGCCATCATGTTTCCTGGGATGGCCTGGGCTCCAAGTCCTGGCTTTCCATCTGTTAACCTGAGGTTGAAAGACATGAAGTCACCTGCTTTAATGACTGGCACATAGTAGGTGTTCAAGTATTGGTGTGGTGTGGTGTGGGGTGTATGTGTGTGTGTGTGTGTGTGTGTGTGTGTGTGTGTGTGTGTGTGTGTGTTAGATATCAGTAACAGCACAATGAATTGTTTTCAGGACTGTGATTTACAAGGCACAGTGGCCAGAGCAGGGCCCAGTGTGAGCTCACAATTGGAAGGGAAAGGACACACACAGTTGTCCTCCACTGCTAAAGCTGCAAGCAACTCCATTTTACAGTTACGAACAGAAGAGGGGGCTGGAGAGACGGCTCAGGAATTAAGAGCATGTGCGTCTCTTCCAGAGCTCTGTGTTTGGCACACTGGGCGACTCAACCCTGCCTCCAACTCCAGCTCCAGGGCACCTGACATCCTCTGGGCCCTGCCACACTGCACTCACACACGCAGACACACACACACACACACACACACACACACACACGCACGCACGCACGCACGCACGCACGCATGCACGCATAACTTTAAAATAGAATCTTTTGCTGCTGCTGTTGTTGCTGTCTTTGAAACAGAACAGTAAGACAGATGTGGTGGTGCACACCTTTAGTCCCAGCACTCGGGAGGAGAGGCAGGTGGGTCTCTGTGACTTTGAGGCCAGCCTGGTCTACAAGAGCTAGTTCCAGGACAGCCTCCAGAAACCCTGCCTTGGGGGGGGGGGGGAAGGAGCCTCTCCAGGTGTTTCCCACAAAGGGAAGAGGCAATCGAAGTCCCTGAGGCTTGGTCTGTGCATGGAGCAGAAACAAGGGCAATGTGGCTGAGAGGAGGAGCCAGTGCTCCCTCAGGAGGAGCCAGTGCTCCCTCAGGAGGAGCCAGTGCTCTAGCACAGGGACCCTCCCTTCTGCAGACTCCAGTCCAGCCTGCACTAAGCTGGCAGATCACCGACCACCTACTGTGATCACCATGGTCTGTCTAGCTTCCAGGCAGTCAGTCAGTCATTCCTTAAGATATACGATCATGTCTGCATGCCCCCCCCCCGCCCTGTACTTGGGTCCCTAGCACTGTGCAAGCCTGTGGACACTTGATGCTGTTTCTTTTATATACACGGATCTCTTATGAAAAGTATGCATTCTTCCTGGGCATACCCAGCACTTGAGAAGGGAGTTGGAGGCAGGATGATCAGGAGTTCAAGTCCAGCCTGGGCTACATTTGACCCTATCTCTAAAACAGAAAATTGTTTTCTCTCCTCTTGTTATACTGCTAGAGGGGAATTGATGCTGGGCATCAATTGATCCATACCCACAGTCCCTTTTAGTATTTTGTCTACTTATCTGGTTTTACTCTCCTTAATGGGTTCCATTTACAGAGGAGAAAGTCAAAGATTAGGCTTATGCGGAGCAGTGTAGCTTAGTGGTGAAGCACTTGCCTGACATAAGGCCATGGGTTCAACCCCCAGCCCCTCACAGAGGGTAGATGGCCACAGGCACGGGACCCACCCTGATGGCAGACCTGTCCTCCAAGGGGCCCAGCCACAGGCAGGGCTCCCTCCCTGCATGTCTCCCCTGTCTGCTTTTGCCTCTGTAATGGCTCTGCACAGGTGTGTGGGAAGGTTGACATTCAGACCTGCTGGAGACCTGGGAGTGCCTGGGCTTGGTGCCCACAGGGAATTAGTGAGGAGCTGGTAACAGTGGCCTTTCCCTTCCAGAGCACCTGAAGGAGAGGCTGGAGCAGTACGTACAGCAGCTGCAGATCGTGAGGGTGGTGAGGCAGCAGGAGCGGAAGGGGCTCATCACAGCCCGGCTGCTGGGGGCGAGTGTGGCGCAGGCCGAGGTGCTCACATTCCTGGACGCCCACTGTGAGTAGGCGATGCCCCGGTGGAGGTCTAGATGCCTACTCTTCCCCATTCGCCCCACACTGATCCCAGGCATGGTTCCAGAGAGAGCACAGCCATGAGGCTTGGTGACTCAGAACAGCTTCCCTGATCTGTACCATGAAGAGAAGCCCCTGTCCCACTAGGAACACTCTTGTGTGTGGAGTTAAATAGGCCTCCCCTGTAACTTTCTCTGAAAGAACAATAGAAACCGGAAAACTCTAGACTGGCATCAGGAACCCTGGTTCCCATCTGACTCTGCCATTAACTGAGCCTCATTTCCCTTACTCACCTAACAAAACTTCACTAATATAAGGTAAAAATGGGGCTCAAAAGATGGCTCAGAGGTTGAGAACATTTGTTCATGCAGAGGACCAGGGTTTGATCCCCAGCACCCACATAGCTGCTCACAACCATCTGTAACTCCAGTGCCAGGGGAGCCGATCCCTTTTGCTGACCTCTGCAGCACACGGCACACACGCGGTACACAGATATACAAGCAGGCAAAACACACATGTGCATAAGGCAAGATAAATAAGCCTAAAACAATCAAGAAATATAGAACCTATGTTCATTTAAAGTCCCAAAACTAGCCGGGCTGTGGTGGCTCACGCCTTTACTCCCAGCACTCAGGAGGCAGAGGCAGGTGGATCTCCTTGAGTTCAAGGCCAGCCTGGTCTACAGAGCTACACAGAGAAACTCTGTCTTGAAAAATCAATCGAGAAGGAAGGAAGGAAGGAAGGAAGGAAGGAAGGAAGGAAGGAAGGAAGGAAGGAAAGAAAGAAAGAAAGAAAGAAAGAAAGAAAGAAAGAAAGAAAGAAAGCCCTAAAACTGTCTAGACATGGTGACAGTGCCTGTTATCTCAGCATTTTGGTAGCAGAGGCAGGGGGATCACAGCAAGTATGAGCCCCCAACCCCTCACCCCTGCCACACACTCAGTATAACGTAAAGCAATTTCTAGCCAGTGGAGTCTGTATAACAAAGGATCAAGAAAGAAGACCCTAAGGCCTGGGAGGAGGGTATTTCTACAGTTAGAGCTGGGAGTTCACGTGCACTTCTCTGGAGGACAGAGAGCCGAAGCCCATACTCAGGTGGGGGCTGGAAGCCCTGAAGACGCCCCCTCCAGGTCCATGGTGGTTTGCATCTGATTTATGCTGACCAGGTTGCTGCCCCAAAACCTACCCCTCCCAAAGCTTCAGAGATGCTCTGTGTCCCCTTCTGTGGAGCTTGCTGTGTGTGCACCCCACCCCATCTTCCCCGGTCTCTGTGGGTAGAGGGTTCAGCTGCAGCTCAGCCCCTGACCCCCACCTTCTGGCCTGGGTCTGCAGGTGAGTGCTTCCATGGCTGGCTGGAGCCCCTCCTGGCTCGAATCGCTGAGGATAAGACAGCGGTGGTGAGCCCAGACATCGTCACCATCGACCTTAACACTTTCCAGTTCTCCAAACCTGTACAGAAAGGCAAGGCCCACAGCCGTGGCAACTTTGACTGGAGCCTGACCTTCGGCTGGGAGACGCTCCCTGCACACGAGAAGCAGAGACGCAAGGATGAGACCTACCCCATCAAGTAAGGACTGCACCCTGGTGAGCCCCCACCTTGGTCTCTACCCACTCAGCTCAGGGACTGGCACCATCTCACACCAACATCTGCTAGGTGCTTTATCAAGCTCACCTCCTGTGAGGTAATGTTACCTGTTTACGGCTCCTGCAGCTAGTACAGGGTAGGTGAGGACCTGTGTGACCCAGCATAGACCATACTGCCTCACGCCGTGATAGCTTGCCCCTGTGCATCTTCACCCATCTCTTATTCCCTATACCTAGAAGGCCAGGGCCCCGGCTTGCAGAGTAGGTGAGAGATGCTGTGTGGGGGTCAATGACCATTGTGGCATGGGCATAGTTGTGGCATGGGCTCCCAGGTCACTGTCTTTGAAAAGACTCAGAAAAGGCAAATGTGTGCTGGGCCTGGTGATGTTCTCTTGTCTTAGTCACGGTTGCTATTGCTGCAATGAAACACCATGTCTAAAAGCAAGGTGGGAAGGGAAGGGTTTATGTGGTTTATGCTTCTACATTGTAGTCCATCATCAAAGGAAGCCAGGGCAGGGACTCAAACAGGGCAGGAGTCTGGAGGCAGGAACCTGGAGGCAGGAGCTGATGCAGAGGCTATGAGGGGGTTCTGCTTACCAGTTTGCTCACATGGCTTGCTTAGCCTGCTTATAGAACCAGGGATGACACCACAATGGGCTGCCCCTCCTGCATCAATCACTAATTTTAAAATGCCCTATGGGATTACCTATAGTTTGATGTTATAGAGGTACTTTCTCAATGGTGGCTCCCTCCTCTAAGATGATGTTAGCTGTGTCAAGCTAAAACCATCCAACACATAATCCTAGCCTCTCAGGAAGCTAAGACAAGAGGACCACAAATGTTAAGACATATCACTGCTCAGGGGAAGAGCACTTCCCCATCATGTGCAAAGGTCAGTCTGGAGCAGGGCAGGGTAGGGTGAGGGAAAATGAGCAAACACAGATTATTTGGGGCAGTTTGAAGCTCCTTACAGTTGACCTGTACTTTTCTTTTCTTTCTTTTTTTTTTGTTTTTTGTTTGTTTGTTTGTTTTGCTTTGCTTTGCCTTTTCAAGTACAGGGTTTCTCTGTATTGTTTTGGAGGCTGTCCTGTAACTCGCTCTGTAGACCAGGCTGGTCTCCAACTCAGAGATCCGCCTGCCTCTGCCTCCTGAGTGCTGGGATTAAAGGTGTGCACCACCACCGCCCGGCTTGCCCTGTACTTTTCATTAAAGGGATGCATCGTAATAGTCTGGCTTTGCCGCCCACCTACATATAGTCTATTGGTGTTCTTTTGTTTTCTGGGAGGGATGTTAGGATTTGTTTTTTTTTATAATTGTTTCAAATATGTGTAAACCAAACTGGGCACATCTGAAACCCCACCTTTGAAAGGGAAAATAGAAACCATTCTTTACCGTGGAGTGGTGGTTCTCAACCTTCCTAACACTGTGACCCTTTAATACACTTCCTCATGTCGTGGTGACCCCCAACCATAAGATTATTTCATTTCTACTTCATAGCTATAATTTAGCTGCTGTTATGAATTACAATCTAAATATCTGATATGCAACCCCCAAAGGGGTGGTGACCCACAGGTTGAGAACCACAGCCATAGCATCTTCTGAAAACAAGCCGTCAGTCTAAATAGCTGAAAGGCAACGTGCTCAAAACTCATGGAGGCTTGCCTCTCCTGTTCCTTGCCTGCCCAAACCTCTACAGATTGCAGTTTCCTGGTTTTTTGTTTGTTTGTTTGTTTGTTTGCTCTGTGTGTGTGTGTTCAAGTACATGTGTGTGTCTGAGTACAGAGTGCTGATGTGTGTGCAGGTGTGCATGTGCACATATTTTTACACGTGTGTGGGCACATGTGTAGGTGAGTGCTTCTGCTTGTGTGTGCACGTGCCCAAGGATGATGATGGGAGTCATCCTTAATTTCTGCCTCAGTCACTGAGGCACTGTCTCCCAGTTAAACCAGAGCTCACCACTATAACTGGGGTTGCTAGCCAGCTCGCTCCAGGGATCTTGTCTCTGAATCTTGAGTAACAAGAAGGTTGTCGTGCCCACCTGGGGTTTACCTGAGGTTGTAGGATCTGAACCCGGGCTCTCCCACTTGCACAGCAGACACTTTAGCCATTCGTGTGCCATTGTTCTGTCCCGATCGTTATGGATTTTAGGCTAACCTGTACAAAGTTCCAGGAGAGCCCGGACTCTAGAGTAAGACCCCCTCCCCCATCTTGAGAAACAAAAAGCAAAAAGAGGGGAAAGAGAAGACAGGAGAGGAAGGAGTCTGCACTCCCTGCTGACTCTCTGTTTGTCTCATAGGAGCCTTTGTTTGGCATGTATAGCAACAAACCCTTACCCCACCCAGCCCAGGGCCAGGCACACAGCAGCACGGTTAAGGGCAGGGCACCTGGCCCTCACCCATCACTAACGTCCTGGCGTCTGCAAGGCCGTCCAGTGGGAGGACAAAGCTCCAGTGTTTGAGGAATGAATTGCTATTTGGTTCCGGTGTCCTGGCAGCACCCGTGGCTTACCAGAAACACCCCGTATGGTGGTCCTTCGACAGTAGCATCTCTCACCAGTGTCGCCTGTTCAAGGCCACTAGCAGCTTCCCTCCGAGCTTAAGTTTCTCAGGCAGTCTAAAACACACTAGCAGACTAGGCCCCAGCTAATGCTGTAGCCACACAGTTCCTGAAGGAACTCTGACAGAGAACGGGGCCAGCCCAGCCTGTAACATGCACTCATCCCTTCATGGGCTGAGTCCCACCTGTTTGCAGAACCTGTTTCTCGCAGGCCCTGCTGGGTGATGTTTCCTATGTCCGTAGTTGAACAGGTGAAGGGGTTCATTTAGAAGAGTAGTGTGGACTGCCTCTCTCCTGGGCCCGGTTCTAGAAGGGGAAGCAGGCACAGCGAAAGTTAGCAGGAGGGGCTGCATGACCTGGCAAGGAGGATGTGAAGTAGGAGATCTGAGAGGGGAAAGAGTCAGTCACCTGCCTTCCATGCCAAGCACCTGCCTCCTCCCTGCTGATGACAGTGTGCATCTCCCTCTCTCCAGATCCCCGACGTTTGCCGGTGGCCTCTTCTCCATCTCCAAGGCCTACTTTGAGCACATCGGTACCTATGATGACCAGATGGAGATCTGGGGAGGGGAGAATGTGGAAATGTCCTTCCGGGTGAGAATGAAGAGGGCTTTGAGGGGGAAATCTTAACATCTCGGGGGTTCCTTGACAAGCTGTTTATCAGGCACTGATAGCGCTGAGGGTGTCATCTCTGGAACTGAACTTGAAAGGGTGTCCACTCCCTGCCATGGCTCCACTGTCCCTGTGAGGGTGGTAGACTCTGGAGATGAGTTCAATGGCTTGAACCAAATTCCAGGGCAGACCTTCTAAGAGGGAAGGGGTCGTGGGAGCCGTAAGGACCACATTCGGCATCAGACTGTTTTACGGGGAGTGTGGGAACGGTTTGGTGAAAACGAAAGCGGGTCAGGAGCCAGTGTACCATCCTCCACTTTGGAAAATCAGTCTCCTCTTCCCAAGTCAAAGGACACCTGCCTGGCGGTCCCTGGGTTTCCCCAGGAGCTTTCAACAAGCTCTCCATGACTGAGAGACAAGAGGTGGAACCCGGCTCTGATGGAGGCGGAGCTCTGAGGAATTCTGGGAATGAGGTGAATCAACATAGGTCAGGAAGGGCGGCCTGAACACTGCAGGAATCCCCAGCTAGCTAATTACCAGGAAAATGAGCTGGTTAATGGAGTCACCCCGTGCCTGGTATATAGTAAGCACATAATTGCCTTCTGATGTTACTGTAGCTATGACTGCGGACTTCTGTTTCTGCTATATCAAAGTGGATAACAGATGCCTCCCAAAACAAGACCCCAAAGAGCCCAGTGGGAGAGATGTCTAAAGCCAGCCCACTGGCACAGAGAGGGCCCCCGGCCAGTATCTGGTTCACACATCCAGGGAGCTTCCGACCTGGATCCAGGATCTCTCCAGGAACACGGGCTTGTTCAAGGCCCAGTGGCCACAGACCCCTGACTGGTGCTCGGTATGGGGGAGGTCAGCTTTTCTGTAACTCCTGGGTAAGCTTCTCTGACACAAGTCCTGTGAGTCAGGGCTCTGCACACTTACATCCACGTACCCAGGACAGCCTGGACAGGACAGCTGTGCCTCAGGAGTAAGCCCACCAGTGTCTCTTTCTTCAGGGATAGAAAAGGCGGCATTTACTTCCGTCATAGCACCTGGGGTCTGGCGCTCTGGGAGCTGAACGGAACTGCTTGGGGAAAGTTGTCGTCCAGCCTCCTGAAGGCCCCGTCTTTCGTGTCAGGTGTGGCAGTGTGGAGGCCAGCTGGAGATCATCCCCTGCTCCGTGGTAGGCCATGTGTTCCGAACCAAGAGCCCCCACACCTTCCCCAAGGGCACCAGTGTCATTGCGCGCAATCAGGTGCGCCTGGCCGAGGTCTGGATGGACAGCTACAAGAAGATCTTCTACAGGAGAAATCTGCAGGCAGCAAAGATGGTCCAGGAGGTGAGGCACCAGTGGCCAGGTAGCATCCGGTGAGAGAATCATGGACTCCAGGCCTCTGGTCAGCTGCCGAGTGGCAGGGCCATCCCATCTCTATCTTCCTGTCTCCCTCCATTCCTCAGAGCTCTGTAGGCTAGCCCAATGAACACGGGGCTCTGGGGCTAGAGGAGAAGAGGGTGAGCTGCTGTGGTCCCTCCCGGGGAGGGGCGGTCCCAGCATCACGCAGAGGAGGAGGAGAGGAAGGAGAGGGATAGGAAGGAGAACCCGTCACTGGAGGAATGGCTCTGACAGGCTCAGAGTTAAGACCAGGAGGGCTGACTGGGGAGTCCTGTGAGAACAAAGGAGTGTTGTAAGTAGTGAGGTCCCCAAGGTAAGGCGAGGGGTCAGGTATTGCTGTGAGGCCGAGCCAGTAGCCATAATGGCCAGGAGAGAGGGGCCTCAGCGCTCCATGTTGTCTGGGCTGCCTGACCCAGACATGAAGACCTGGGCTGTGGCACTGACCTTTGAGGGAACTGGCTTGGTTGACAGAATAATTTCGGTGACATTTCGGAGCGACTTCAGCTGAGAGAGCGGCTACACTGCCACGACTTTTCCTGGTATCTGCACAATGTCTATCCAGAGATGTTTGTCCCTGACCTGAACCCCACCTTCTATGGAGCCGTAAGTTAACCTGCCCAGCCCCATGGTACCCTAAAGAAGTCAAGACCATGCATCCCCAGAGCAGCCAAGCCACAAGGACGGGGGAGACAATCTGGGGCTTCCTCCAATAGTTAAAAAACTGATAAAGTGGGAAGCCCATGAGTATTGATTGGTTCTTGAGTGTTAAGTCCATGACAATACCCATGAAGGTGTGTTAATACACATCACTAGGCCCCATGCTCGCTGTTTCCATCCAGATCCAGAACAAGTCCAGGTGATGCTGAGGGTCAGCTCCCGTGTGCTGAAGACCTCTCTAACCTGGCATCCTGAGGGCCTGCCCACCTTACCCCACAGAGGGCACCCAGCCCTGCCCATCCTCAGGGCTCTTCAGACGCACTTTGCCGTTAGTTCCAGGCATCTGGGCTCGTGCCCAGAGGGGGAAAGCTGTTCCAGTTGTGCCCCACACCCAGCTGAGCGATCCTGCTTCCCCTCTGCTCACCTCTGCAGATCAAGAATTTGGGCACCAATCAGTGTTTGGATGTGGGAGAGAACAACCGTGGAGGGAAACCCCTCATCATGTATGTCTGCCACAACCTTGGCGGCAATCAGGTAGAGAAAACATGCTCGCCCTGGGCAGGCCCGGCAGAAACCCATCTCTGAGGCACCTCCTCTTCCCATGGGGCCCCCTTTCTTTATTCTAGATAGTTCTTTCCTGGGCCTCCAATAGAGGAGATGTGGTAGGAAGGGTCACCCCGGTCGCAGGAAGCAGATAGGCTGGAAGGGAAAGCATGACGCCCACAGACGAGGTCTGAGGCGTGACGCCCACAGGCGACTGAAGCAGGGACACGGAGTTGGCATCATTCTGGGCACTAGAGGGTGAAGGGACACTGCCAACAGAGAGGGCCGTGGAGGAGACTGCTGGCGGCTTGGGGAATTGTTGAGCATTCTCTCACCTACACCTGTACTTTTATCCTCAATGCCCCCCTGGCCAGAAACTACCACTCTGACCCCCAAACAGCCACCTACTGATGCCCTGGAAACTCCCTTGTGCCCCACAGTGCCCCCAGTACATCCCTGAGGAGTAACTTCTACTCCCTGTCTTAGTTTGTGTTCTGTTGCTGTGATAAAACATCATGACCCAAAGAGGAAAGAGTTTTTAGACACAGGGTCTCACCGTGAAGCCCTGGTTGTCCTGGAACTGACTCTGTAAACCAGGCTGGCCTCAAACTCACAGAGATCCACCTGCCTCTGCCTCCTGAGTGCTGAGGTTAAATCTGTGCACAACGTCCCTGGAGGGTTCATTTTAGGTCACACTTCTACATCACAGTCTGTCATTGAGGGAAGTCAGGGCAGGAACTTGGAGGAGGCAGGAACTGGAGCAGAGGCCATGGAGAACCCGTGCTTACTGGCTTGCTCTCCAAGCTCATGTCCAGTTGGCTTCCTATCCGCCAGGATTTCCAGTCCAGGAGCACCACCTCCCACCATGGGCTAGGCCCTCTAGTTAACCAAGAAAATGCCCTGCAGACTTGCCTACTGGCCAATCTGAAGGGGACATCTTCTCAACTGAGTCTTCTCCTGGGTGACCCTAGTTTGTTTCAGGGTAACAGAAGCCAACCAGCATGCACCCATCCACTGCTCCCTCAGACATCCAGTACCCAGATCCGGTAAATAGAAGGTATTTAAAAGCAGATAAAGGGTAGCCAGAACCAACTGCCGAAAAGTGCTGACGAAAGCAAAGCCACGTGAAGGCAGACGCAGAGACAACAGCTCTCAGGTGGTTTTCCGGGGTTCCTTGGTGAATATATTTTATCTCAGTGGTGATTTATTAGCACACCCAGAGCCGGCAGGTGACTGTGATGGCACATGCCATGCATGGGCTGCATGGCACAATGCTCCGGTAGATAGAAGGCTGAGGCAGAGGATCATGAGTTTGAAGTCAGCCTGGTCTACATGACAGAGATCAAGACCAGCCTGGGCTACATAACAAGACTCCAGGTCACACACACACACACACACACACACACACACACACACACAAAAGCAGGGCTAGTGTTCCAGTGTATGACTTCATGGTGGTGCTTAAAGTCAGACTAAGGTAATCTTAGTTTATAGTTCAGGTTATATGCACCGTTAATCCAGTATAACCCAATGTGGCAACAATCGTGGCAGTGGCGCAAATCACTAACAGTCTTAAAGTCTCCACACAGCCTCACTTCCTCCACCAGGCAGCCATCTAGATGGCACTGTACGTAGGGCAAGTGACTTTGGGAGGATGCTCCACGGGACATCTTTGTTTTGACTTCCAGTACTTTGAGTACACGTCCCAGCGGGACCTTCGTCACAACATTGGGAAGCAGCTGTGTCTACATGCCACTGCTAGCACACTGGGCCTTAGGAGCTGTCACTTCACTGGCAAAAATAGCAACGTACCCAAGGACGAGGAATGGGAGTTGACTCAGGTGAGTCAGTGGCCCAGAGAGCTCGGGACCCTGAGTCCAGAGTTCCACATCTGCCCTCCTCCTCTTTATTGTCTTCTTCTTCATCTTCTGCCTGGGCGTCAGGGAGGGTTAGAGCAGGGTCGAATGCACAGGGGGTGTGGACTCCATCAATGTCTGCTAATGTCTGGTTCTGGCTAACGAAAAAAAGTGGGGCAGAGATGATGATCCAGGCACGTCTGCCATGTCACTTTTTGGGTTGTTTTTTGTTTATTGTTTTTGTTTGGTTGGTTTTGGTTTTTCAAGACAAGGTTTCTCTGTATTGTTTGGGAGGCCGTCCTGGAACTCACTCTATAGATCAGGCTGGCCTTGAACTCACAGAGATCTGCCTGCCTCTGCCTCCCGAGTGCTAGGATAAAAGGCGTGCGCCATCAACAACCAGCTGCCATGCACTTTTTTTTTTTTTTTTTTTGGTTTTTACGAGACAGGGTTTCTCTGTATTGTTTTGGAGGCTGTCGGACCAGCCCGGCCTCGAACTCACAGAGATCCGCCTGCCTCTGCCTTGCCATGGCACATTTTAAGGCTGAGTCCTAATAGACTCAGTGGGCGAAGGGTCCCTCAAGTTGAGGCACAGACATTGTTTCTCTTAGTAGTTTAGGAGCTCCATCCACAGCAACCCCATTTCTACAAAGTAGACAGATTCAACCAGTTTGTCTGGCCCAAGCCCCACCGCTGGCAAATGGCAGGCTGGGGTTTGGGTCTCCCTAAGTCTGGCTGGAGTTCAGGGTCTTTCCCTGGCACCACACAGCGATGAGATGGGTGGTGATAACTCACATGGCTAAGCCCAAGCTCTGCTCACTTTGTTACCTGCTCAGAAAAAAGGAATGGCCAGATAGCCGTAACGCTAAAGCTAGACCTAGAGCCCAGCATCTGCATGGTGTGTACATCTCTGGGAAGGAGTTAGAAGTGTCATCCTTGTATCTCGTTCAGTTTCCTTGTTTCATCGTCCTCAGACTGACCCTCTGCTGTGTTGCCTTTTAGGATCAACTCATCAGGAACTCAGGATCAGGCACCTGCCTGATATCCCAGGACAAAAAGCCAGCCATGGCCCCCTGTAACCCCAGTGACCCCCGCCAGCTCTGGCTGTTTGTCTAGACCTAGGGTCGTCCCCACTGTATATCCAACAAGTCCCTCAGGAAGTGGGGTCACTGAGCACCTGGAAATCTTCTCCCCTGCCTCCTCTGGAGGCCTAAGAGTTGGATTTCCAAGCCCAGAGGCCATCAAGGCAGAACTTCTTAATTTTGCAACACCACTGGTCCCATTTTATTTCCTCCATGCCAATGGAAGAGACCAGGAGGTCACATACTACTTGGCCCAAGGCCTTCCTCATCTCCTAGAGACAGTGGCCTCCAAAGGTAACTGAAAATATGTCTTGCAGAGGGACTGGAAGCACAGATACCCTCCCTGGTTAGCACACCCTAGTGCCAAACCGTTCTGACTTTACAGAGTGCCGATAGCCTACAGCATTTGTGCAATTATCCCTGGAAGAGATGGGAAAAGAGCCCGTTGCACCAGTAAGAAGGGTGTGACTGAGCTGGGGTAGAGTTCAAGGAAACGGCCTGGGTTTGACTCCCTAACACCACAGAAAACAGAAAAGGAAGGCCAGGGGAGGAAAGCAGAGATGGAGAAGGAGAGAGACTTCTCTGTCATCACACAGTGAGCAGATGACTCAAGCTGAGGCTGAGGTGTCACCTTTGGTGCTAAGCCTGGGCTCCTTCCAGCACGCAGGAACACTAGACCATTCGATGCGAGCCTTGCCATCTATTGACCCCTCTCTGACCATTCTGGCTGGCTGGCTGGCCAGCCTCCAGATAGCCAGGCAGCAAGATAGGATCCTGAGAATCCTGGGCTGTTAGTGTGGAAGGAATTTCATGGGCTGAGGTGCCCGTGAGCCTAAACGCACAAGGCTTGGCCCCTTTGTTCTAACCCATATATAAGGAGATAAAGAGCAAAGCAGGAACTAGGCATGAAGATGCAGGCTTGCAGTCTTGGAACTTACAGACTAACGCATCTCAAACCCAAGGCCACCCTGGGCTACAGAGTTCAACCTTGTCTTGAAAGCAATACAAAATAGCATGAGGGATATGAGGGCAATGCCTCATAGCCCTTGAATTAGGGTAGAACGATTTTTAAATTTATTTTTAAGCAAAAGCTAAATAGGTGTTTTGTCCAAGGTCACCTGGCAAGGTGTTTGCCAGCTCTGAGGCCAAACACCAGATAAGGCTAATCGGAGTCCTAGCAAGTCTGAGGGGTCAGGGACAGTGTGCAGATGCCTGAAGGACTGACGCCATCAGCTGTCCTTGCACAAGTGCTCTGTGTGGAACCTACCTGAGGATGCCAACCTTTCTACAATCAACTTGGACCCTACTGTTCTGCCTGGAAGAAAATAGAAATGTCCAGGGAGGCGTTGGGGGACTGCAGTATCAAGCTGTCACCACATGAGGGCGCCATGGAATCACAGCTTCCTCCTGCTCCATGCAACTAACTGCACATTGCAGGAAGTCTCCCAGGTTCCCTGGGAGACAGTCAGGGATGGTCTAGCCAAAGGGAAGGAAACTGGCCGAGCTGTGGTCCAGGGTGGGGGAAGGGAAGAGAGTCTGACATGGGGACCCGGAGGGAATAAAGGTTTTATGGTATTGGTAGATGCTGTTTGGATTGGGCTCCACTCCCTGCTTTGACTGAAACAGATTGGGAAGAACCACATTGTTCTATTACAGCCACCATCGCTTTTCTGCAAACGTCCTCTAGCCGGTGTGTTGGGTGTGAAGTGTGTGCAGGTGTGAGGTGTGAGATGCTGCCCTGCCCCGTGGACTCCCACTCCAAATGTAAGGGAGACCCAGAATGTGCTAGCAGAGGAGTTAAAAGGAGTCAGGAAAGGCCCATACAGTGATAGCTGACCCCATCAAAGGAAGACTGGAGAACAGGTGTCACACGAGCAGCTCAAAAAAACTAAAGACAGACAAAGCCTCAATTTTCTCCTCTCCACAGCCCCTCCCTTCATCCTCAGCTTCTCTTCTTCCGTCCCTTTTTCCAGATAGAAACCTGTGATGTAGCCCAGGCTGGCCCCCAACTCTCAGTCTTGCCTCCCTCCCTCCATGCTGGGATCGTGGGTTTGTCCTGTTTCTTGTGTGTCATTGTTCCATTGCTTCAGGAAACTTTCTGGAAACAGGGCTCTGACACAGAAGGAATGGGAAAGAGGTGTTGTCACCAATGGACCAAAGCCCGGTTATCTCCCAAAAAGCCTCGTGGGCCCTGGGGTCAGTTTGCAGTCTCATTTTTATATTCTAAAACCACAAAGTGGAGTCAGTAAGCAAGCAAGATTTCACAGAAGCCTCCCTGAGGTGGCCAGGTTGTTAGGGTGATGATCCATTGTTTCAGCCGTTTCTCCAGATCTTTCTATTTCAGGTGGCAAGTGGAGTCATGTTTGGCAAATAGACAGTACAAGCAGTGCTTTAAAAAGTAAATCATTAAATAAATCAACAACTCAGTACCTAATAATAGTTTTTCCACCGTTCGATCCCATCCATTTAAGCTTCCTCTGTGTCAGCTTGGACTTTCCCAAACTTTGTGGAAAATTTTATGACCAGCCATGAGGTTTATTGGTAAACTATGCTATATACCACAGCCTCGAGTCTTTGTTTAATTGAAAAGGCTGTGTTCCAGTCGGGGCAGTGATGGCGCAGACCTTTGATCACAACACTTGGGAGGCAGAGGCAGGTTGGATCTCTGTGAGTTTGAGGCCAGCCTGGCCTACAGAGTGTTCCAGGACAGCCAGGGCTACACAGAGAAACCCTGATGTGACTGAGCATTGGTGTTGATCACAACACTTGGGAGGCAGAGGCAGGTTGGATCTCTGTGAGTTTGAGACAAGCCTGGTCTACAAGAGCTAGTTCCAGGACAGCAGCCTCCAAAGCCACAGAGAACCCTGTCTGGAAAAACAAACCAAAGAAAGAGAGAAAAAAGAAAGGAAAGAAGGAAGGAAGGAAGGAAGGAAGGAAGGAAGGAAGGAAGGAAGGAAGGAAGGAAAGGGATGTGTTCCTAGGACTGGAATGGCTTATTTGGAAGAAAAAAAAGAAGCAATGTCTTGACATTGAAGCCAACCAAGGTCACTGTTTATGCCTGATGAGAGAGTCAGAGCAGCCATGGTGAGGTGGTGAACCTATAACCTCGGCAACTGGAGGCTGAGGTAGAAGAATCTGAGTTCAAGACCAGACCCTACCTCAAAGAAAAAGAAAGACTGGCCAGTTTAAGGATGAGGAACCAGTTAAGGGGCTTAAGTAGACTCCTAGAGCTTGTTCCCCATTTTTGTTTGTTGGAAAAGGGTCTCATTTAGCCCATGCTGGCTCTGACCTCTCCCTAGCCTCCGGCCTCCTCCACCGTCTAAGCACTGGAACTGCAGATGTGAGTGACCACTCATGGCAGGAGGCTGGCTTTCAAACACATATGGTGACAACGGATGGGATGGGGTTTCTCTGGGTCAGGCCAAGAACAGAACTGATCCTGCCCTTAAAGCCATTAGAGCCTGTAGTGTTGGGCTATACACAGTGGGGGATCTCAAGCTTTCTCTTATACACCTCATCCTGGTCCAGCAACTGCCTTTCAGCCTTCAGAGAAGCAAGAAGGCGGGAGAGGAATGACAGGATACCCTAGATTCTCCAGGCAGCTCAGCCTTCTCCATGGATCGCCTGGTTTTGGAGGCAGACTGCAGAAGGAGCCCTTCAAGCTGCCCGGGCATCCACTATCCTGAAGACTTAGGGGACAAACTGCAAGCCCTGCAAGTGCCCTCCCCAGCCTGTCCCAGCCCTGCAGCCCCAAAGCCTGGACTCGGAGGTTCGTAGGTGAAAAGGGGAAGTCATGGCAGCCTCCGGGCTGTACTGCTGCTCCCACGCCCTGTGCTCTGAGACCTGCTATGACCCAGCTGTGGTCCTCCATCCTCTTTGGGGCACACTGGCCTCTGACCTCCTTCCTCTAGCCCTTCCCCTGTGCATTCTGGGCCCTCCATCCTCATGGCCCTCCTTCTCCCAGTCCCGAGGGTCCCCTCTTCCATCCTGCCCACATTCCCTTGCCCTGAGAGCTCTGTAGCTTCCCTTTTGAGCCTTACCAAGTTGGTTTCTCTCCATAGCGTCTTCTTTGCTTTGCTCCTGGGCTCAAGCCTACATCCATGTCCTGGGGACAAACCCCATCTCCCTCTTTTGCCATAGAGAAGCTGCTGTGTCTCCCCTCTCCCCCACCCCCAGACCCTGCATGCATAGGACAGGCCTCTGCGTTATAGTTCCACAGTGCGCAGTGGGGCAGCGTGGATGCTGAGAGAGATGCTGTCAGTGTGGGGTACATCTGAAAGAAAAGCCATCTTCATCCTAACTTTCTATTATCACATCTACCTGTCTGCGTGCGTGCGTGCGTGTGTGTGTGTGTATGTGTGTCTGTATGTGTGTCTGTATGTGTGTCAGTGTGTGTGTCTGTGTGTGGGTCTGTGTGAGTGTATGTCTGTGTGTGTGTCTGTCTGTGTCTGTCTGTGTGTGTGTGTCTGTATGTGTCTGTGTGTGTATGTGTGTGTATGTGGGTCTGTGTGAGTGTGTGTATGTGTATGTGTGTCTGCCTGTCTCTGTGTGTGTGTGTGTGTGTCTGTGTGTGTGTGTCTGTCTGTCTGTGTCTGTCTGTGTGTGTGTATCTGTATGTGGGTCTGTGTGAGTGTATGTCTGTGTGTCTGTCTGTCTGTCTGTGTCTGTCTGTGTGTGTGTGTCTGTATGTGTCTGTGTCTGTCTGTGTGTGTTTGTATGTGGGTCTCTGTGAGTGTGTGTATGTGTATGTGTGTCTGCCTGTCTGTGTGTGTGTCTTTGTGTCTGTGTCTGTGTGTTTTTGTGTGTGTGTCTGTGTCTGTCTCTGTGTGTGTCTGTGTCTGTCTGTGTGTGTGTCTGTCTATGTGTCTGTCTGTGTGTGTGTGTCTGTATGTAGGTCTATGTGAGTGTATGTCTGTGTGTCTGTCTGTCTGTGTGTGTCTGTGTGTCTGTGTGTATGTGTGTGTCTGCCTGTCTTTGTGTGTGTGTGTATGTCTGTATGTGTCTGTGTGTGTGTCTATCTGTGTGTGTGTGTGTCTGTATATGGGTCTGTGTGAGTGTCTGTATGTGTCTGTGTGTGTGTCTGTGTGTGTGTCTGCCTGTCTGTCTGTGTCTGTGTGTATGTCTGTGAGTCTGTCTATGTGTCTGTGCGTCCAAACTCAAGAGCCTGAGCACATGTATGTGGAGGTGAAAAGACAGCCTGCAAGACCCCACTCATCCCTTCTACCATGTCAGTTCTAGGCATTGAACTGGGGTCCGCGGTTTGGTGGCAAAGGCTACTAACTGTCTCAGCTATCTCAAAGGCTCTCTCTCCATCTTGGAGTTTCTGGATGCTTTTCAACAGGTTCCCTGAGTGCCGACCTTGTTCTGTCTTGGAATGGCAGATAAATGAGTTGACTTGAACAGATAAAAGAGTTTCATTTGTACTTCCAAGTCACCTGTGCTTTCCCGCCTTCTACCCACAGCCCTGCCCAGCTGGCAGGAGGTCAGCAGAGCTGCTGATAAGAGGGGTATAAAGTGGGTTCTGCTTGTGGCAAGGGCAGTGGTCTCCTCTCACAGACATGCTGCAGCTCCTGGTGTTCGTCTCCCTGGTCCTGTATGGTGAGTGGGTCTTTGGTCTGAGTTCTGAGGGAGGGGTATTTGAGCAGGGGGGTCAGAAAGCCTCTAAGGTCAGGTTAACTCTATCTCAGAGGAAGGAAGAAAGCTGTGTCTGTCGGTCTAACAGAAACCTTGCTCTCCTGGAGCAAAAGACAGGCAGGACTAAGGAGCACTGACTGGCCATGCAGGGCTCAGGAGCACTAACTGACTGATCATGCGGGACTGAGGAGCACTGACTGACCATGCAGGACTGAGGAGCACTGACTGACTGACTGACTGACCATGTGGGACTGAGGAGCACTGACTGACCATGGGGGACTGAGGAACACTGACTGACTGATTGATCATGCGGGACTGAGGAGCACTAACTGACTGACCATGCGGGACTGAGGAGCACTGACTGATCATGCAGGACTGAGGAGCACTGACTGACCATGCGGGACTGAGGAGCACAGACTGATTGATCATGCGGGACTGAGGAGCACTGACTGATTGATCATGCGGGACTGAGGAGCACTGACTGACCATGCGGGACTGAGGAGCACTGACTGATTGATCATGCAGGACTGAGGAGCACTGACTGACCATGTGGGACTGAGGAGCACTGACTGACCATGCGGGACTGAGGAGCACTAACTGACTGACCATGCGGGACTGAGGAGCACTGACTGACCATGCGGGACTGAGGAGCATTGACTGACTGATTGATCATGCGGGACTGAGGAGCACTGACTGATTGATCATGCGGGACTGAGGAGCACGGACTGGCCATGCAGGTGTCTGCTGGGTGTCAGGTACCTGAGCCAAGAAGCATAAAGAAGCCCCTTTGGGGGTTCCCCACCAACCCCCTTGACTACAGGACACTTCCAGCTTGACTGCTGTCCATGGCTCCTGGAGAATTCTGCCAAAGCATGGGGAAGGGTTTCCTCCAGCTGAGGGGGACCCTAAAGCCAGGGAAGAACATGGCCCCCCAGGGCCCCTAATCTGGTGGTTTGGAAAAGGTCTTTCACTGCAAGCCAGAGTTCTCATGCATCCCAAAGAAGCAGAGGGTGCTCTGAGGCTCTGTTTGCAAAAGAGGCAAAGGGGTGCAGACAACTCAGGGCTGGGCCCCGGGGCGTGTTTCAGGAGAGCTGTGAATTTGCAGACAAAGCTAACAATCTTCAAACACAGCTGCCGCTCCCCACCCCCGCCCTGGCTGACCCCATGCTTAGTCATCACTCGCTTTTCTTCTGTCCCACAAAGGACACAGTACCCAGGACTTTCCAGAAACAAATGCACGGGTGGTTGGAGGGACTGAGGCCCAGAGGAACTCTTGGCCATCTCAGGTGGGTATTTCCCTCTGCCCAGGCTTTTACCCAAGCAAGAGATGCTATGCACACCCCCCAAAATGATTTTACATGTATATGTGTGTTTACCCTCAGGAAGCTCACTTGCTGTCCGATTCTGAATCTTAAAGGTGTGTGGAACCAGACAGAGGTGGAGCTCTAAATGCAAAAGGCTGGGGGGAGGGAACTTATATATAGGGTCTCCTGGGCATATACCCAAATGCATGCGCGCATGCGCGCGAGCAAGTGTGTGTGTGTGTGTGAGAGAGAGAGAGAGACAGAGAGACAGAGAGACAGAGACAGAGACAGAGGCACAGAGAGAGACAGACAGAACAGAAGAAGTGCCAGAATGCCACAGCACAGTTAGATCCTTCCACACCTTAGTGGCAGGGCCTCTCATGCTTCCGCCACTGCACTGAATACTTCAAGCTAGTGCCAACACCTCACGCCGTCCTGGTTTTGACTTGTTGCGTGAGACAGGGTCTGGACATTTCGCCATGACTGGCCTGGAACTGTCAGTATACGCCAGGCTGATGTCAAACACATAGAATCTGCTTGCCTCTGCCTCCCAAGTGCTGGGGTGGACACACCAGTTTCTTCCGTGGGCTCTGAGGATTCATACCCAGGCCATCAGGTTTGCGTAGCAAGTGATTTTACTTGCAACCCTACCTTTGTTCCTTCCTTCTGTATGTGAGGGCTCGAACCCAGCACCCGGCTCATGCCTGGCAGATGCTCTCCCTCTGAGTTACATCTCACCCCGCAAGCTGTTTTCATTATCCCTGTGATACATTCACAGACAATGTGCTAGGTGGACCCAAGAGGCACCACACAACCTAAAACACATGTGTAACATCCACCACTCCATAGCGTGTAACGTCCACCATAGCGTGTAACGTCCACCAAAGAGTGTAACGTCCACCACTCCACAGTATGTGCCCCGCATGCCAAAACACCGGGGCATGATGTTTGTTTGGTTAATGTTTCCACGTCCCTAACAGGATGCTTGGGCCTGACTCACTGCAGATATGAATGGGTGACGGTGGCGTACTAATGCTCAACAGCCAGACTTCCTGTAATTACAATTAAATTTAACTTACAGAAGTCTGAACACCATTTCCAGAAGTAGATCTATTGCATAATATGAGAAAACACAAACGGACTTTAAAATCTATAAATTGACATTTTAAGTACTCCCTGATGTGGGAGGCCGGGGTACTTCTTGAAGACATTGAAGGGAGGACCCTGGAGACCTAAACCTGTAGGGCTTGGGTGACAATGCTTGGCTCCCTTTTGGAATGAAGACAACAAGAGAACATGAGCTCTAACCCTAGCAACATCCTAGTGTAGGGCTGCCTAAGGACTTGTGTGCACCTTTACCTTCCCACGTGCGCGTAGCCAATGTCACCAAGCAGTAGAGACTCTTCCTGGCAAGGAGCTCCACATAGCCACTTCCAGCCAGTCTGGGAGGTGAGAGGGGGGAAAGGGGGAGGGAGCAGGGAGAGGGGTCCGTTTGCTCTCCCTGGCCCAGGAAATTAGAGAATGTTTTCAATGATGTCAGGAGTTTTAGAAGGTGACGCAAGCCCTCCCTGCTTTCTTCTTTCCTGACTAGATTTCCCTCCAGTACCTCTCTGGAGGATCATGGTACCATACCTGTGGAGGGACCCTCATCCGACGCAACTGGGTGATGACAGCTGCTCATTGTGTGGACAGGTGAGGAAACAGAGGGTTTTCCAAGCCCCTGGGAGGATGCGACTGACCCTTCTGGAAGAATGTAACTTGGACTTCTCAGAGCCTGATTGTGTTTGGAGGTCACTGAAGGAAGTATAGAGGAAGTACAAGTTTTGGAGTCCAGCAGGTTCAGGTTCAAATCTCGTTCCAGCTGGCTGTGTGACCTTCTCTGCTCTCCCAGTCTCTCATCTCTGAAGTGGGAAAATAACACTGACAACTGAGGTGACACTCAAATGCTGACGTCAGCATCTGGTCATTTTTCATGTTTGTATCAAGCAACAGTTTCCTTTTTTTAAAAGAATGTACTGGGCAGTGGTGATGCACGCCTTTCATCCCAGCACTCGGGAGGCAGAGGCAGGTGGATCTTTGTGAGTTCAAGGCCAGCCTGGTCTATAGAATGAGTTCCAGGACAGCCAGGCTACACAGAGAAACCTTGTCTCAAAAAAACAAACAAAAAGTTAGAATATACTATTGTTATTATTATTATTACTGGTATTTGGTATTGGTGTGTATGTGTGAATGTGTGTGTGTGTGTGTGTGTGTGTGTGTGCATGATGCAGGGGGCACATGGCATGATGTACATATAGAGGTCAGAGGACAATTCTGTGGACCTGATTTTCCCATCCCAGGCATAGAACTCAGGTTGTTATGTTTGCATCTTTATTCACGGAACCATCTTGCCTGCCCAGTTTCCATATTTGAACACATATTAGAATCACATGGAAAACACCAATTGGTGAACCCACTCAGCAGAGTTCTGATATGGCAAGTCTGGGGGGAGGCCTAATGACTGTATGGGGGTGGGCAGCATTCATGTGTGTACAGATGTATACAGGTGTGTGGTAGCCTGTATGGTCATTTTTGTAGGTCAGAAGTCAACATCAGGAAGCCTTCCCCAATCGCTTCTCCACCTTATCTTTTGAAAGTCACTCTCTGAACCTGGAACTTGATGTTTTGGCTAGGCTGGGCATCGAGGCCCTGGGACACATCTCTGCCTTAGTGTTGGGGTCAGAGGCATCACTCCATGTTTGCACAGTGAACCTTTTTCCCACTGAGTTATCTCCCCAGATCCCATCAAGTTTCCAAGTGAGGCTAATGGTGCTGGTTCAAGACCACACTTTAGGAATTAGTTACTGGTTTAAGCAGTGTATAGTGATGTGCGTCTGAAACCCTGGTACAGGAGACCAACACAGGGGGAGTTGAGGATTTGAAGCCAGCCTAGGATGAGACCATATCTAAACCAACAACGACAACACAAACATACATACATACATACATACATACATACATACATACATAGTACACACACACATACATATACACACAATGCAGACATATGTACATGCATGTGTGTGCTTGTGTGTGACCTATAGGTTTATTTCCCTCACAGCTAGGTATCATCGAGTATCACAACCTAGACTGTTAGCTTAATAAGCTGAAAATGTGCAGCTGATTTTTTTTTTTTTTTTTTTTTTTTTTGCTGCTGCCTCAAGTTGGTAGCCTCAGGAATGAGGGGTTGTTGTGCCCTCACCTTGGAAGACCTTTTGCCCTCCTCTGTCCAGGCCAGATAAACTGTAACCCACTTTCCTCCTTCCCTTTAAGAGGGGAAGGAGATCCCTCAGGCGTCCTTCTCTCTCTCCAGCCAGAGGACTTTCCGTGTGGTTGTTGGAGATCACAACCTGAGCCAGAATGACGGCACCGAGCAGTACGTGAGTGTGCAGAAGATTGTGGTGCACCCCAGTTGGAACACGAACAACGTGGCTGCAGGGTATGTAGGAGGCTAAGCTACCATGGGCAGGGGCAGAGGCTGCCTGGACACAGGGTCTTTCCAGGGGACAGAGTGGTGACCCGAAACTGTGTGTGGCTTTTGTAGCCTGGCCTTGTTGAGTAGTGGGTGGAGCCTGGGAGAGAGTCCCATGTCCTGCCGCAGGTCACATGCTGGCTTATCCCCCAGGAGTACTAGGACCTGAGTACCAGGAGTTTCGGGGTTTATCTCTTGTGGGTGGGTTTGCCCCGTTGGATCCTGTGAGGACATTTTTTTTTCAAGACAGGGTTTCTCTGTATTGCTTTGGAGCCTGTCCCGGAACTCGCTCTGTAGAGCAGGCTGGTCTTGAACTCACAGAGACCTGCCTGCCTCTGCCTCCCGAGTGCTGGGATTAAAGGCGTGCGCCACCACCGCCCGGCTGTGAGGACTTTTTTAATGTGTCTGTTTTTCTGAGGGTGGGTATTTTGCTTTGGTTTCGGTCTTTTGAGATAGTCTCTCATGGAACTCTAACTGGCCATGAACTCACTGTGTAGCGGAGGTGGCCACCCTGCCTAAGTGCTGGGATTCTAGGAGCTTGGCAACACACAGTGCTTCATTTGTTCTTTGTTATTTATTATCTTTACGGTATATACTTCATCTGTACAAGGAAATTTTGTTTGGTTTTGACTTGGCTTTGGAGTGGGAGAAGGAACATACTGGGCAAGTACTCTACCCCTGAGCCACACCCCATTCCCTGGGGAAATTCTTTAAGGTGGGTTGCAAAGCTTTGGAAAGGCAATCATTAACATGGTAGTTAGGGGAGAGCTGCCTTCAATGGACAGTCTTAAAGGCCCAGCACTTGAGCGGCTAAGGCAGAATGATCAAGAGTTCAAAGTCGCCGGGCTTTGGTGGCGCACACCTTTAATACCAGCACTCGGGAGGCAGAGGCAGGTGGATCTCTGTGAGTTCAAGGCTAGCCTGGTCTACAGAGTAAGCTCCAGGTCAGCCTCTAAAACAATACAGAGAAACCCTGTCTCAAAAAACCAAAAAAAAAAAAAAAGAGTTAAAAATCATTATCCTCTTAGCTAGAACAAAGACAACCTAGGAACAAAAAGACCTGGCTTCTAAAATACCTAAGCCCCTGCCTGCCAATAAATAAGCAAATAAATAAATAAATAAATAAATAAATAAATAAATAAAAGGAGAGCTGGAGACATAATTCAGTGGTAAAGTGCCTGTCTGGCATGCTTAAGGCAGTGTTCAAACCCCAGCACTAGAAAAAAAAAATAGTGGTCATGGAAGGGGTTAGTGGTGCAAGTTTGTAACCCTAGTCCAACAGCAGCCTATGTATGTGAGACCCTGAGCTTGATCCCCCCACCACAAAAGATTTAAAAGGTATTCTGTTCTGTAGAGTGTGTAGGGGTGGCTTCAAGTAACTGGTATGGTTCTGACAGAATTGTACCTGCTTGAGAACTCTGTAGCATAGAGATCACACCACCTGGTTTTTTATGGTTCTGGCTGTCCACCACCCCAATTTGCAAAGCAGAGCTAGGCTGCAATTCCAACACCCTACCAGCAGGTGCTGCTGTTACACATCTACTGTCCTGCAGCTCAACTGCATCCACGTTTGCCCTCTCCTTTAAGGGTGTGTGTCTGTGTGTGTTCACACATGCACAGGGCCAGAAGCCATCAGACTGCCTAGAGCTGGAGTTATAGGCATCTGATATGGTGCTTGGAACTGGGCTTGGGCCCTCTGACAGCGGACCTGATCATGAGTAAGTCCCCTCCCTTCCTTCTGCAGCTATGACATCGCCCTGCTGCGCTTGGCCCAGAGTGTCACACTCAACAGCTACATCCAGTTGGGTGTTCTGCCCCAGGAGGGAACCATCCTGGCTAACAACACTCCCTGCTACATCACAGGCTGGGGGAGAACCAAAAGTAAGTCATACGCACTCCCACCGTATGCCACTGAGATTTTGATGAAAAGGCTGCACTTCTAGGACATCTTTTTCTGTGGTCCTAGACATGTATAGCCAGAGACCAATGACCTAGGGAATCACAGATCAGATCACTGATACAGTTGAATCAGAAGTTTATGGACTCCTATAGCTGAAGAAAGAAAGAAAAAAAAAACTCACCAGAGAAATTATTTTGTGCTGGCCCTTATTTTATGCATTAGGAAACTGAGCACAAAAGAAATTAAGGAACTTGATTGTGTGACTGGTTCCAGGCACCTGGGCCTCACTTTGGCGATCATGGTGTCTGCACTGACAGGTACCCAGCTGACCTGAAGCAAGCAGACCTGGGTAACTGCAGAGCCAGTCACAGAGCAGAGGTCTCTGCTAGACTCTCCTCACCATGGGATGGTCTAGGACTGTCACCCAAACGACGTGGAAAGACGGGAGGGCTGTGAACAGAGACGGTTAGGAATGTGGAAACATTAAGGACAACCCAGAACCTGGCAGCCACAAAGCAAGATTCAGGCTCCTGGAGAAGAGTCAGGCCTTACCTGAGTTTATTGGGAAAGCCGAGGCAGACACAGACAGATGTCTAATCCAGCTCTCAATTCCTGTAATGGCCCTGTGGCTCTGCAACACGAAAGGACTCTGAGGACCTACAGAAATGGCATCAGATGCAAATGTTTTCAAGTCTCAAAAGAGCCAGATAAAGGAAAGATGTTCCAAGCTCTTTTGAAAAATGATTCACTTTTATTGTTTTTAACTGTGTGTACATGTATGTATCTACACATGTATGAAGTGCAGGGCTCGAAGAGTTCAGAAGAGGGAGTTTGCCTAGGTGGGTGTTGGGAATTGAACTCAGGTACTCTGCAAGAGCAGTTGGGGCTCTTAACCACAGAGCCATCTCTCCAGCCTCTGAACTCAGCTCTTATGAAGTGGAAATAAACCAGCTGTGGCACAGGCCACTGGTCCCAGGGCGCAGAAGCAGGTAGATTTCTGTGAGTTCAAGGCCAGTCTCTCTATCATGGTGAGTTCCAGGACAGCTATGGCGAGACCCTGTAGAAGGAAGAAGAGGAAGAGGAGGAGGGAGGAGGAGAAAGAAGAGAGATCGGGCAATAAGATACTGGCTACGTGAGAGACTGCAGCAGGGGGACCAGGAGTTTGAGACCAGCCTAGGCATTATACTGAGGCCACATCCCAGAATATGAAAGGAGGGTGAGGAATAGAGAGGACTGGGTGCCTACGATGACTCTTCTGCTCTGCTGTTTTGTGGGGCTTCTGGTGTGAGCAGCCGAACAGGCAGAATGTATAGAGACTAATCAAAGTGATCCATGGGCAGGAACAAGCAAAAGCAGGCCTGGGGGGTTAGTGCCTGGGAATGGTGAACCTGTGGCTCCCATCTACAGAGGAGAGAGGGGACTCACAGCCTGCCACAAGCAGAGAGGAGCGGCCCCAAGTTTAGGCCACCCAATCTTGGGAAGGCTTGCTGAGATGCGAAAGGGTCTTCCCTGTGCTGACTTCCAACGTGACATCCCATGCAGCCAACGGGCAGGTGTCTCAGACCCTGCAGCAGGCCTACCTGCCCAGTGTGGACTACTCCATCTGCTCCAGTGCCTCTTACTGGGGCTCCACAGTGAAGAGGACCATGGTGTGTGCTGGTGGAGACGGGATTCGCTCAGGATGCCAGGTGAGTGCATGCAGGTGTGAGCCCCTTCCGACTCTCCACCTTTTGCTCACCCTCAGTCCCTCGTCTGCTCTTGCACCCATGGACAGACTCAGCGTTCTACTCTATCATGGAATCTCAAAGTGGGAAGGAATATGAAAACACCTTGCTCAATGCCGTACCTCCGAAGCTGCTCTGCGGGCTAACGCCCTTACGCATGTGTGTAGTCTTTAGGAGTTGCTTGTGACCTAAATTCTTTAAGGGCAGCTGCGGGGCTGGGCCTGCAGGGATGGTGGTGCTAACTGTGTGAAAGGCTGCGTCCAATCCCTTTTCATGCACTCCCCCACTGTTGCCCTGTCCTCCGGTGTTCACAGGAGTCGGTGCAGGTGGGCACAGCAGAGGAGCCTGAACTGCTTTGTAGTCTCTCTCTACTTAGATCAAATCTACCCACAATAAACCATACTACAGTTGCTCGATGCAGGGCAACCTGTGGACATTCTCATGTCCCTCACGTGCCAGGAGCTGAGCTGGGTGCTAGGAATGCGGAGAGAATTAAACAAGGACAAGGGAAGGAACCAAGAGCAGCGTGGCATGGTAACTGGAACCCAGTGTGGTGTTGTACCGCTGTGGCTAAGACATTTTGGTAAAGACAAGCAGGGTGACATGGAGGCCTCCGGTCACCACCTCTGTCCTTCCCTGAGACAGGAGAACCTGCAAGGAGTTGAGTATAAGTAAACAAGGTGAAAAAGAGGGGAAGTCACTCAGAGGAAGCGGTGGCATGGATGAAGGCATTGGGCTTACAGCACCAGGAGAACTATTGGTCTTTCCCTTCGCCTAGAATAGCTAGGATCAGGGGCTCCCAAGTCATATCCAGCCTGTTGGTGAGCCATCGGCTATGGTTATAACCTTTGGAAATGGTTAAAAAAAATCCAAAGGTTAATCTTTCAGCTGTGAGCACAGTGGCACGAACATAAAGCCTTGGGTTCCATCGGTGTCACATAAACAGGGCATGGAGGTGCACATCCATAATCCTAGCTCTGGGGAGGCAGAGGACAGGGGCTAAGAACATCAAGATCATCTTGGGCTACAAAGCGAGTTCAAAGTCAGCCTGGGCTATATGAGATGCTATCTTGAAAACAGGAAAATTTTTTTAAAGTGGAATTTGGGGGCTGGAGAAATGACTCAGTGGTTAAGAGCACTGGCTGTTCCTCCAAAGGGCCTGAGTTCAATTCCCAGCAACCACATGGTGGCTCATAGACATCTATAGTGGGATCCAATGCCCTCTTCTGTCATGCAGGCAGATATGCAAGTAGAGCACTCATATACACAAAATAAACAAACAAACAAACAAAAATAAATAAATAAATAAAGGAGCTTGGAAGAGAAAGTCAGGTGAGATGCCCTTGGGAACAAATGAGTGATCCCTCACCTCAAGGAAAAGTTGCAGAATCATAAAGAAATTAGTGGGTTGGGAAAGACCTAGAAATGTTTCAAGGCTGGGTAGAGGATAGAGAACACACCCATGTGGTGATATCTAGCTTGTACCTGTCTGAAGGTCAGAGAATGGAGCTTGCCACTAGTTAGCCATAGAGGTCCGGAGGTCTGTCCTGACAGACAGGAAATGAGTTAGCTGGCTGGAAACAGGATATCAGCAGGGAGAAGCCGTAACTCCTGCTCCTGTCTGCTGAGACGCTGAGGTAAGGTATGGTGGTGACTTGCTCCTTCTCTCTGATCTCTCAGCATTTTCTTCTATATCTAACTCTGGGTTTTTATTATGTAGACCCGATTAAGAACTCCATTTACACACCCAGATCCAAGAAAGGGTGTAGACATAAGAGAAGAACATGCAATAAGTTTCTGTAAACTGGGGGAAGACTGACAGGTCATCCCATAGCTGGTGTTGCCATGGCTGACAACAAAAAGTGGCTCATCCGGCAACTTTTTGTCACAAGATTATCTGTAGATGGCGAGGGCACAGTTGACAGATAAGAATAAAAGACATTCTTCAGGAAATGTTGGTGGCTCTTCAAGAACCTTGGATGAGGGAGAGGGACAGACACAGTCTGGTAGCATTAGAGACAGAAGTCATGGAAAGATGGATCTTTCTATGGGGAAGACATTGAAGGTGACAATGGGCAGAGAGGAAAGTGTCCTGGAGAGAGAGAAGGATGGCAGATGGGGCGGCCCATTGTCCCAGTAAAGGAGAGGGATGGAAGTCAGAGCCCAGGTGGAGCTGGTTTTAACTGGGGTTGGGAGTGGGGATGGGGGTGGGGTAGGGGTGGCAGATGTTCCTGAACGTGGACAGGTTTGCAGGAAGGTGCTCTGTGTTCCTGCTTCTGGTTACTCATGAACTAGGAGGTCAACTTGACTATAGAAAATGAAAGTGCAAAGGTTGCTCATGCCTAGGAAAATTACAGCAAATGGGGGAAGGATTATCTTTCAAGGAGGTGAGGCTGGCGTAGGCTTCACTTACTCTTTCTCATAGACCTAGTTAGAGGGGGGTAGATTAACTCCAGGCTGGGTTTTCTAGCTGTCCTTGGCAACAGCACAGGAACATGTGGGTTGACTGCATGGTCCCAGCTTCGTGGAAGAGGGAGAGAAGTTCTCAGGAGGCTGGTATCCTAGTTACATCAGGACAGAAGGGTCAAGGCTTCTGTGAACCCAAAGAACTTACAGGAAGGAAAGTAGCCATTGTTTTTCCAATTTTCACTGTTAACACTTAAACACTGCGATGTCCTGCGTGGTGGAACACACCTTTAATCCCAGCACTCGGGAGGCAGAGCCAGATGGACCTCAGGGTTCAAGGCCAGCCAGGGGTACATAGTAAGACCCTGTCTCAAAATAAAAATAGGTAATATAAATAATAATAGCAGTAGTAATATGTGAAGAGAGACAGACAGACAAGTAAAGCACATTACAGCCTCTTCCAAGTCTCCTCTCACCCCTCAAGTCCAGCCTTCCAGAACTAATTCATACACTTTTCTCTCTCAAAAGGTCTTCAGTTCTGAAGAAATAGGGTGTTTTATTTCCCCAGACGGATAAGTCATTGTAACAAGTGTGTCTCTGGGTCCTTTCTTACTGGGGGTCCCCCAGACAGGGGGCCTGTGGGGTTTTTCAGAGTCCTAAGTGAGTGCCTTTCTCCTCTGAGGATTCATGGCTCTCTCTGACTTCAGTCTATACATTCATGCCGTGTTCCTTCTCAGCTTCTCTTTCTGACTTAATATTCAGCCACACCCTCCGTCTTGTCCAGATCACCCTCTTCTCGTGTCAGTTAGCATAAAGTGATGATATTATGCACACTCAATTCTCTGCCACTCATTAGTTCCGAAATATTCTCAAAGGATTGTTGGGGGTGGGGTGGAGAGATGACTCTCCTGGCGCTCAACCTCCCCTGACTTCAGTTCCACGGGACCTGACTCCCTCTTCTGTCCTCTGTGAGTACCAGGCATACTTATGGTGCACAGACACACACAGGCAAAACACCCACACACATAAAATAAATCTTAACTTTCCTCCCCTCAATTTGTTAGGGGATGGGTAGGAGAGACAGGGCTTTTGTGTTTGAGTAAAATCATCTGAAAACATGTTTTCCTAAGTAGTTGGAGCACTTTGAAGAATTAGCTCCAGTTTGAATTTTTTGGTCACTTTCCCTAGTTCTTCTTTTTGTGTGTATTTATCTGCATGTACAAGTGTGTGTGTGTGTGTGTGTGTGTGTGTGTGTGTGTGTGTGTGTGTATG